CAATGGGAGCCGGAGCACCAACAGTGATTTACACTAATCCAACCGACCGGGCTTACCAACACTGACCAGAATAGTTTGACCAACGCTAACATCCAACTATCATTATAAAATTTTATTTTCTTTTGGAACAAACTCATTTCTATGACGCATTCATTAATATAAATAACATAACTCATTATATATATATATATATATATATATATATAGGGTTGGGTTCACGTGAGACCAAGGGTTTTTCGTGAGACCTGTAAGACCAATTTATGTTCATTGATCAACTTTATAAGCTAATGATCTAATGGTCTAAAGTTACAAGGTGGCAATTTTGTAATTATTGAGAAGTCTCGTGGCGTTTATTAATGTTCAGATCTGACAATTGTAAATCTAATTCAAGGGTTGAGAATTGGTCTTACGGGTCTCACGAAAAACCATTGGTCTCACATGATCCCAAGTCTCTCTCTCTCTCTCTCTCTATATATATATATATATATATATATAGACTTGTGATCATGTGAGACAAAGGGTTTTTCTTGAGACTCGTAAGACCAATTTATGTTTATTGATCAACTTTATAAGCTAATGATCTAATGGTCTAAAGTTGCACGGTGACAATTTAGTGATTATTGAGAAGTCTCATGGCGTTTATGAATGTTCAGATTGTCAGATTGTAGATCTAATCCAAAAGTTGAGAATTAGTCTTACGGGATATATATACTTGGGATCATGTGAGACCAATGGTTTTTTATGAGACCCATGAGACCAATTAATGTTCATTGATCAATTTTATAAGCTAATGATCTAATAGTCTAAAATTGCACGGTGACAATTTTGTAATTATTGAGAAGTCTTGTGACAATTTTGTGATTATGAATGTTGAGATTGTAAATCTAATACAAGGATTGAGAATTGGTCTTACGGGTCTCACGAAAAAGCCTTGGTTTCATATAATCCCAAGTCTCTCTCTCTCTCTCTCTCTCTCTCTCTCTATATATATATATATATATAGAGAGAGAGAGAGAGTTTGTTTCAAATACAACCCGTCATATTTGTACAACCAATGCAACCCAATAAATTGAGATATTTATGGAAATAATGAGAGTTTATTTATTATGATTTGAATATTTATGGAAGATGAATATGGTTCATTAATCATTATCAATATTTTATATTAGAAAACGATAAAAACTTCTATGAAATCACATATTAATCAAATGAAATGGACGTTTGAGATTGAGTTGTATTGGTTGTACAAATGTCAAGGGTTATATAATAACCAACCTCTCTCTCTATGTATATATATATACTCTATATTATAAAGCATTTGATAAAAACCATTTTTTATGCATAAAGTACTATTTACTAATGCATGTTACTTAAAACTCAAGATTACAAGTAGATTGTACATAAGTACAACTTATTAAAGCTCCATATATGAATTCGTGTAACTAACTGCAGATAAACATAATTAAATTCATGATAGACATCTCATTTTAAATATTAAAAATCTAAAATATAATTAGAATAATCATTGAGTTATAACAGAATACTTAATTATTATCTTTATAAAATGTTATATTATTAAACCAAAAATAAATTATTTCTTAAATTATAATTAAAAAAATAAATTAAAGAAATTACATAAAAATGAAAACTTTTAAATAGTTGATTTGATATTAACATTGACATATATTTTTTCAAATTTTTATGACATTTTCAAAATTATATTTTATCCAAAAATAAAATCATTATTGTTTTTTTAAAAACACATAAAAAATCGTATTTTAATATCGACAGAGACAAATAATAAAATATAACATTAAAATCGAGATGTATCTTGCTCAATTGCACGAGTACCCCTCTAGTGTGTGTGTATATATATATATATATATATATCTTGGGTTTTTGATTATTTTATGAATTTTCTATTGACTTTGAAAATAGCATTGACAAAGCTGTCCAAATTGCATGTGACATGCAAGGTTGGTCACATATTTTCTTGCAGCTTACAAACTACAATTTTTTAGTGTTTTTAATTTATTGTGAAAACTAATTATTACATATTTTAAGGACGTCAATATTTGGACGATATTTTTTTAGCTCACTCGGCGGTTAAGACTAGTCGTGGCTTAAGATCGAACCTATGACATGTTTTGTATTTGCACAAAGTTATTGAACCTCTTTATCAACTGAGTTACATGCCAAAAACTAAAAGATAACAGTATTTTGTTAAAGATCAACCATAAAACCATAGAAATAGGATGGGCCCCGGATCATAGTTTTATTTTAATTACCTTTACAAATTATTTAAAATATAAATTATTTTGATTTAAAAAAATAATAATCGAATTTGTAAAATACGTGTGAAACTGTTTAACGTGACTTTCAACCACATTAATGAAGTCGAGAAAATAACTGATCAACCTTTTAATAGAAACTAGAAATAGGAAAACAATGTATCGTCAACATCAAAATCTAACATTTTTTTGCATAATAAGGGTTTATTTCCAATTTGGTTCATATCTATTTTCATATATATATATATATATATATATATATATAAAGAGAAAGATAGTTTGTTTCAAATACAACCTATCGTATTTGTAAAACCAATGCAATCCAATAAATTGAAATATTTATGGAAATAATGAGAGTTTATTTATTATGATTTAAATATTTATGGAATATGAATACGGTTCATTAATTATGATTAATACTTTATATGAATAAATAATCAAAACTTCTATAAATTACATATTCATCAAATTAAATGGACGGTTGAGATTGAGTTGTATTGATTGTACAAATGTAAGAGGTTGTATAATAACCCACCTCTCTCTCTCTCTATATATATATATAGAGAGAGAGAGAGAGAGTTTGTTTCAAATACAACCCATCGCATTTGTACAACCAATGCAACCCAATAAATTGAGATATTTATGGAAATGATGAGAGTTCATTTATTATGATTTGAATATTTATGGAAGGTGAATATGGTTCGATCAATAATTTATATTAGAAAACAATTAAAACTTCTATTAAATCACATATTAATCAAATGAAATAGACGGTTAAGATTGAGTAGTATTGGTTGCACAAATGTCAATGGTTGTATAATAACCAACCCTCTATCTCTCTCTATATATACATGGTATATTTCAAATGCAATCATGTTCATTTGTATAACTAATGCAACCCAATTAATTGATACATTTATGGAAATGATGAGAGTTCATTTATTGTGATTTGATATTTATGAAAAATGAATATAGTTCATTAATTATGATAATACTTTATAGGGCAAATTGCATGAAAAAGTAACGTACTTTCACTTGATTCCTATTTTGGGTAACATACTTTCAAAACTTCCATTTTAGTACCTAAGATGTAAAGTTTTAAACATTTAAGTACCTGGGTAATCCAGTGAAGACTAGTTTTAGACTAAAAAAAAGACTAATTTTAGATTAAAAAAAATCCACGTCACTGACTAAGTCAACAAATAATACCGAGTTGCATACCATATCACTCGCCATATCAGTATGATAACCGGTTAATACTTCAACCAGTTACCCGGGTACTTAAATGTTTAAAACTTTACATCTTAAGTACCAAAACGGAAGTTTTGAAAGTACGTTACCCAAAATAGGAATCAAGTTAAAGTACGTTACTTTTTCATGCAATTTACCCTACTTTATAGTATGAAACAATCAAAAATTTTATGAAATCACATATTCATCAAATTAAATGGACGGTTAAGATTGAGTTGTATAAATATAAATGGTTGCATAATAACTCACTTTCTCTCTCTCTCTCTCTCTCTCTCTCTATATATATATATATATATATTGTTTCCTTCTTTTGTTAATGTTTCAACAAATAATACCGAGTTGGATACCACATCACTCGCCACATCAACATTGTATCCGATTAATGCTTCAACTGGTTACTCAAGTACTTAAATGTTTAAAACTTCACATCTTATATACCAAAATGAAAGTTTTTAAAAATACATTACCCAAAATAAAAATCAAGTTAAAATACGTCATTTTTTCATGCAAATTACCCTAATTTTTTAATCTTGTGCTTATTTTCTCCTTAAGTAAGGGGGTGTTTATCAAACATGTATCCAAAAAGCACTTACCGGTTAAATTTAACGCTATCAATTACTTACCAGGTAAGATTTTAGTCTACCAAAACGGTATTATATGCAACAATTTACCCGATAAGCACTTACCGTGGTAAGAGTCGTCGCCTTCACTTACCGGGTAAGACTCTTGGTCATTGTGTTGCTCTCATCGGGTAAGATCTTGGTCTTTACCATATTTATCCGGTAAGATAACATGACTTGATGTTCACTTACCTGAGTAAGCATTTGGTAAACAGCCCCTAAGTGTCCAATTTCAAAAATAGGTAACTAAATTCATTAATCTATTTTTAATGAATGCATACACATTTAAGAGTCTATGAGTAGAGAGAAATTAAATAAGGATAATATTTGTCATTTGGCATCCAAACAGTGTAATAATTATGAATGTCTAAAACCGTGGGGGTGTTTGGGATTGTTTATAAAAACAACTTATTGACTTATTTCGGTGTGACACCGGTAATAAGCACTTCTAAGTGTTTGGATAAACAACTTATACTGGTGCCAAACCGGTAATAATGAGTTTTTGAAGAAATTAAACCCTCTTGACTTATAATAAGTTGATAAGTGCTTCTATAGAAAAATATATGTTGTTTCAAATAAGCAATCCCAAACACCCACTGTATCTGTATGTCATTTCAATTATGGACAACCAATAATTCTTTTTTGGGTTGTGGGCTTTGTTAAATCATTATGAAAAGCCCATCACATTTAGGCCCAAACCAAACTGATTGATAGACCTGCACAAGCTGACACATCCAAGAATATCTTCCAAGAATCCCTGAATTTCAGGAAAACCGAAGCCCATGGAAATGGACCAATAATCATCAAGAAACAAAACCACCAAAAGATAAAAAAAATTGTGGGAAAATGAGTGGAAGATGAGCAACGCAATCGACAAGAAAAAAAATATTTTTGAAATGGTTGCTCTGTGACTGTGAGTGAGTGAAACAGCATTATTGCTCACCATTTTCGATTGTATCCATTTATATGAAACAGAGAATCTTTGAGCATCAGTGTAGGGTTTGAAGATCAGTGAGTATACCCAGTCGATCGGAAGGAACAATCGAGAAAAAAACAATGGAGGAAATTGGGTTTTTGGGAATGGGAATAATGGGGAAAGCTATGGCCATGAACTTGCTTCGCCATGGATTTAAGGTCACTGTTTGGAATCGCACTCTTTCAAAGGTACCCTTCTCCCTCTCTGTCTCTCTCTGTAAATCTATATATCTGTCTATATATACACACACAGATAGATATACCTGTATATATATATATATATATATATATTTGTATTGGTGTTGGTCTTTGTTGTGTTATTGATTAATGAATTTATATCTGATTATTGGATCATTTAGATGATTGATGGTTTGATAGTCTTATTTGGTTTTAGGGTTACTGGCTATTTGATATGGATTTTGGGTGCATCCTAGTCTATTTCTGGATCGATTTTAATACCATATCCATATTTTAGGATCAGATTTTGATTTTGGTTTCAAACCAAGCAGTTATCATATTCATCTGCTTAGTTGTTTATAGTTTTATAGCTCTAGATGTAATCTATGGTGATGATCTGTTTGAAGATAAATGTTCATATTTATGCTTTCTTTGTGATTGAGATGTTTCTTGTTGAGTTTGAAGTTAGCAACTGAAGTCAATTTTAGTATTAGTCCTTTGGTTTTGGCTGGCATTGTGTTCATTCTAGAAGTGTAAGTATTAGGAACCAACTATTCATGATTAATAATAATGAATGATAAAAATGCATGATATTCATGAATAGCTGGTTTTCAGGATATTTATGGTTTCTACATGAACTTTCAACTTGTTTGGTATTTTTTTTTTGATTAACCTGGATAACCAACACGTTATGCAAGCCGACTAATCCCTGGGCGGCCACCTGCTTTGTGGGTAGCCCAAAGTCACCGCATTTGAACCTCCGTGGCCACATGGGATTTTTATTTCTCCTTGGATTTGAACCTGTGACCTCCAGGCACTTTTGACATTTGAACCTCAATTTTTTTAATCTACTTGGAACAGAAAATGACTAAATTGAGGATTTCTCTAATCCTCCCTTAGGAAGAGTGTGAAATTCTTTTTCCTGTATGCAAACCTTTTTTTGTTGTGCACCAGGGAGCAAAGGAGAGCGCGACACGTGCCCCTGGTTGTCCATATTCATCATGAATAATGAACTTGAACATTCATGATGAATGTTTACACCATTTCATGATGAATGTTTACACCTTTTATGATGAATAACCCGTGAAAATGTGGGACACGTGACACTCCCTCCTTTGTCCCGTGAAATTAGGTTTTCAAATGAAGCGGCCCCTGTATATAACTATATATGCATTCATCTAGCTTTTGAAAGCTGTAAAGATGTAAATAGTAGCCATAGAAGTTGACTATGAGAACACTTCTATGCATCAAAATCAATTATAACTCAATTCTGCAAATCCACTTAAAAGGTCAAATTATGTGTCTAACTTTGGAATGAATGAACCACTTTCTTGTTTTACAACTTGGATTTTGTTAACATTCTTTTTCGTTTTCCGGCAGTGTGATGAGCTAAAAGAGCATGGCGCTTCCGTAGGGGAAAGTCCGGCAGCGGTGGTCAAGAAATGCAAGTACACCATTGGGATGCTATCGGATCCTCCTGCAGCTCTTTCTGTTAGTAGAAACTCTGATTCATTAAAACTTTTGCTAATCATTTATGCCCGTTAATGTTTGATATTTGCACGGGATAATGACATAAATAATCGAAATTTGAGTTGATTCATCTGAAAAAAGACCCATTTTTTCCAAATTAGAACAAAATGGCCAACTATTTCGTAAAAAATATCAAAAACCCATTTCTTCCAAAAGGTACTTTTTGACGTATTTTATTCGGTTTGTGGGCCCACTTCTCAAAGACCATGAGCAAAGCCCAATATTTCAGAACTCTTTTTACAAAGTGGACCCACAAAATAAAAAAAATCTGAAAAAAGGTATTGTTCGCGTCAAAAATGATTTTTGCTAATATTTTTGTCAAATAGGTGCTTTTTTTGTGCTAATTTGGAAAAAAGTTGGTCACTTTTTTATGGATCAACTCAAATGTTGGCTATTTTTGCGATTACTGTCATATGTAACACAAGCTGTACCAAAAATGTGATTATGGGTATGATTTAGTGATTTAGTAGAAGTTGGGAGAATTGAGATGGTACCCACGATGGAAAATGGAGGTAAATGGTGTAACCGATTATTGACGTATCTTTTTTAGGTGGTATTTGATAAAAACGGCATTCTTGAGGAAATTTGCAGCGGGAAAGGTTACATTGATATGTCAACAGTCGATGCTGAAACTTCTACAAAGATCAGTGAGGTTTACATTGCACTCTTTTCCTTAATCATCGGTTTCGTTACTTTCGGATTTTGATCACCAAGAGGACATCCCCTTTTGCTTATAAATAGTTATGGTTCTTTAAAAAGATCTCTACCTATAAATGCATAGTTCCGTCTATTTGCAGGCGGTAAAAGAGAAGGGCGGTGATTTTCTTGAAGGCCCTGTTTCAGGTAGCAAAAAACCGGCTGAAGATGGACAATTAGTAATCCTTGCAGCTGGGGAGAAGGTAAACTTGATGCTATTTGTTTAGGTGATTTAACGTCTCAACATTTTCATCTAGTACTAAATTGTGTGAGAATAAGCGAAAATGTGATTGTGGGTTCCATTCGGAATAAGGATGGGACCCACAAAATGGATATTGAAGACAAATGGTGTAAACAAACTGATTGATAGGGGGAATAGTTTGACGACCTTGATCAATTGTGCTTAACATTGCCATCAAAACTCCTTACGTTTCAAAATAAAAGCAACAATTTCTTTTTTGGATATCCGAAAACATTACATGATTATCCTTTTACCCATAAGTGATCATTAAAAGGGTATGATGCTACCATCTGCACAATTGATCCCACCATACGGGTCCCACTAGGGGCGGATTTAGTCATGGGCTAGGGGGTGCCTATTAATCGTATCGATGCAATGGAAAAAAAATTAGGGGTCTAGAAAGGTGCACTGTTTTAATTTGATGTGTGCTCCTCTAGTCCCTTGGTAAAAGTGGCTGCAAACTGTTGGTATTGTCATTGCTTGTAGCATTACAGGTTGCTAGTTTGAGTTCTTTTTTTTCTTCTAATTTCTTCTATCTTCGTGTGGATGTAGCGCTTGTACGATGAAATTCTTCCCGCTTTCGACGTATTGGGGAAGAAGTCCTTTTTCTTAGGAGAGGTTGGAAATGGAGCAAAGATGAAACTTGTTGTCAACATGATTATGGGAAGGTACAGATTTTGATAGAAAATTTGTTTTCAGTTCGGATTTAGGACTTTTAGATCGGTATGTTTAGGTCATTTCTTCAACCCCCATTTTCGTTTCGTGGATTCTATATGAAAATGAGATTCACAAAAAGGAGAAACGGAAATGGACCAAATGGAGGGAGCCTTACTTTCATGGTGTTCTCATTACTTCGGTTTACAAACCAAACAAACCCAGTATATCCAACACAGACGATATGGGCTTGTGCTTAACAACATATTACCAAGCCCGTTAAGCTGATGAGCCTTTTTGCACTAGGGTCACTCTTTTTACGTCAACTAGTACAGTTTTAGTTATCAAATCCTAGTACAGTTCATTGATCTCGGGTGAAGTTGCAATTTGCAAAGACCATTTATACTGTGTTTGGTATATAGGATGGGACAGAACAGACAAAAACTTGTTGGCCAATTGAATGGGTAGAATCAAGTATATGTTACAAGACTGGTAAATTACTAAAATATCTGTGTCAAATTAAAACCCTTGCACAATTCTTTCATCTGCCTAACTCACTAGAACAAGACAAAAACTTCTTGTCCGACTGTATGGACAAAATTGCATATTTTGTTGGGACAAATCAAGGAGATGAGATAAGATTGGTAAATTACTAAAATACCCATGTCAAATTAAAACTCTAAAACCTTCGCATGCCTACCTCACTAGAACAAGACAAAACTTCTTGTCCAACTGAATGAACAAAACTGCATATTTTGGTGGGGAAAGAATCAAGGAGATTTACTAAATTACCCACGTCAAACTAAAACCCTAAAACCTTAGATAATTCTTTCACCTGCCTACCTCACTCTCTCCCATCCAGTCTCGTGTGTACCAAACACCATTAGTAGACTAAACCTTCAAGAACACATGAAACTGTTAATTGACTTCTAATGGTGTTTGTTCTTGTGCAGTATGATGAATGCTTTCTCAGAGGGACTTGTACTCGCCGACAAAAGTGGACTTAACCCTAAAACTCTTCTAGATGTGTTGGTAAGGAAGAAAAATTGTAATCTTAGTTTCAAGTTTCACTCATTTTGAGCTAACCCTTCATTAGGTTCGATTGTAAGTGGTTCAGTTTGGTTTGGTTCACTACCCGAGATCAAGAACCGAACTGGTTTATAATTTCTATGAGCGGAGCTAAAACCAAATGAACCCAGTATATCCCACATAGAGGCAGAGTAAGGGGAGGGTAGGATGTACGGCAGACCTTACCTCTATCCAAATTAGTAGAGGCTGCTGTTTTCTGAGCAGAACTAAGGGGGTCGTGTTGTTGGTTTTCGGTCAAGTCCTGTATAGATAAAACTGACTATGTGGAATAAATTTGTCGGTATAGATTGAGAGGGTTTTTTCATAGATGAAAGGAGTGTGTCTTTTAATTGGGAGGGGCAGGTTTGGAAGAAACTTGGCTTTCTGCATAAAGCTCTTACTAAAAGCTTACAGAATAAGCCACGTTCTACATCATTAAGCCACTACCAAACAATCACAATCATGTATATAAAATGTGGGTCCCATTAAGCTCATTTAGTTGTTAACAAACAGGTCCAAATCAACTCTATTATGAAACGATATAATTCTATTTGATTTTGCGGTTTTCGTCTATATTTCTTGCAGGATCTTGGTGCCATTGCTAATCCCATGTTCAAAATGAAAGGACCTTCAATGATCCAAAACAGCTACAACCCTGCATTCCCATTGAAACATCAACAAAAGGACATGAGGTTGGCTCTTGCCCTTGGTGACGAGAACGCCGTCTCGATGCCGATTGCGGCTGCTGCCAACGAGGTAACAAGCCATACCCTTAGGGGCAAGTTCAAATGAGAAAAACGTAAATATTTTGAGAACATGTAGGAGCCAACTATTCATGCTTTATTAATGATGAATATCTTGATATATAATAATAGTAAAAGTACATTAATAATGATAAAGTTGCATGATATTCATAATGAATTATATTCATGATTATCAGAGTTATTCATCATGAATAATACATAAAATAGTTGGTTCTCCGGCTCTCAAAAAATTTATTCATTTGGCGGCATGATGCCTTGATGCCCATGCCATACTTCATCGATTCATACGAAAACTTCATAGGCCTCCTATCATTCATAAACTTGCCATCGTTCACGCTATGATGGTGAAAACTAATCCGAATTGGGCGACCCACGTTACCTTTCGCATTTTGTTGTCAATTTTTGTACTTATGAAAATTTTACGGCCAAAATGCAGGTATTCAAGAAGGCAAGAAGCACGGGTTTGGGTGATCTTGATTTTTCAGCTGTTTACGAGATATTCAAAGTTACTGAACATTCGGCTTGACGATCCTGAAGGAAGTATGCCATTTTCGTACTATAAAAATCGAGCATTCTTCCTTGCATTAATTCCGAGATTTGGTGTTGAAATGACGAAGAACACTCGTATTCTGTATTATTTTGTTTTCAATGCGATTCGATGTACTTCTGTAGATTAAAACAAGTTGCAGATGCTTCATTATGAATAGAACAAGAAGGCTAAATATCGTATAAATGAAGGATACGTTTTGGCTCCTTGCCAATCCTTCCATGTAAAAGCTAGATAATGCTTGATAGCATATAATGAGTTACTTGGATCCCTTGATCAGCTTTAATCTCAAACCCACTCATGAATTGCACTTAATACATGGATTGATCCGGTGCATCTAGAGGTGGGGCCCGTGGGGATACTTTTTTATGTTTCTCATCTTAACTCTCATTCTCATCGAACACCCAACCTTATATATATATATATATATATGTATATATATATATATATATATATATATATATATGTACAGACGCACATAGTTATAGGGTTTAATCATTTGAGAACTTGAAAAATTATAAGATCTATGAGAACTTCTATGATGAGATTTTTTTTTGTTGTCTAAGTATAGTATTTAATATACCGATTAACATATATATGTTTCACATGTTTTTATTTCATATATATTCGGTTCACGAAACTTTTTATGTGTATTTTTTGTTTCGCAAACACGTCAAAAAGGTTCACATTGTGAACCGAGTACATGTGAAACAAACACAATGTGAAACAAATATATATTAAATCAATATTCTAAATCCTAGTCTTAGATGGAAAAAAATCATATGAAATAACACTTGATGTCCAAGTTTTCAAAGTTATCACAATTTCATGAGTTTTCAAAAAAATGTCTCCATATATGTCTATAGGAGATCACCAAATGATAACCATAAAAAGATTAAAATAACTGTAAGTCAATCTCCAGTGATCAATTTATTTTCATCAAATACATGTAATTAACATTATATTTTAATTCAAAAAGGGTAAGATTGTAATTTTCTTTTTCTATTTATCTTTACAATTTTTTAATCTCATAAAAAGGAGTTTTTAATTCTTTAAAAACACTGATTAAATTTTCAACTTTGTAAACTCCCAAGATCACTTGTTTTTGTTTTCTTTAACATTTTTTAAACTCACTTCTTCGTCTTGTTCTTTTAGATATTAAATTTTTATGTTTTATTTGATAATTGTGCAAATTAATAATAAGATATTTATGTGTTTTCATAAATAAGTATATTGTCAAAAAAATTTATGATATCTTTAAATTTATATTTTATTCACAAATAAAAATATTATTATAACATCGACTGAGATAAAAAATAAAACACAATATTAAAATCAAGATGTATTTCGTTACATTATGAAAATACCCTTCTAGTTAGTATTAATGTGTCACTAATCATTGAAACGATTAATGTGAAAAAAAATTAGAGTAGTGTTTCACATGGTGAAACAACACATGATTGATGTATTGTTAATCGTTGAAGTGACTCCACTAATGGCCTGGTATCCGAGCCTTTGGCCTTTCTAGAGATCAGTGGTTCAAACCTCAGCAAATATGAAAAGGGTGTGAGTTTATTTGTTGCATTAACTGTATACAAATATTATATACTTTAAAAACAGATGGGATTAAAGCATGAGTAATTCATCAGATAATTACGAACCTGATAGTAACATAAAAAGAGACAAACAATGCAAACACATACAAGGATATGATTACTCCTGGCTACTAAATGGAAGCCTGAATCGGATGATCAACCCCTTGTCGATAATAACGGAGTCGTTTTAGAGAATTGGAAATGTTGTCGATGCTCGTGTTTCTTGCATTTGACGTTTACCTTTTAGATTTTGATGATTTAAATACGTTTTCTTTGTAGTATCTGAGCTCGGCGATGCTTTCTTTTATGTCGTCCATGGCTCTGTGCTTGTTCTCCTTTCGTGGAGCTTTTTTGTTATCTGTGCGTGAAAAAAGCAATTAAATTGAAAATAGAGCACATCAGATGAATTTTCTTTTGAATTATATGATATTTATATATGACAAATACTCACACACACTCCTCACATTTAATGATGTTTGAACCCTTGACATCCTTGAAGGCTGGGCTCTGCCGGTAATCCAAGTACCGTTGGCCAATAAACCTCACATTTGGTGTGTTTGAGAACGGCAAGTGTAAGATTCCACATCAGTTAGGGAGGTGAACAAAGGTTGTCTTATAAGAGGCTGAATACCTCCTCTATCATATGCGTTTTAAAATTGTTAGTTTATGTGTGGACAAAACGGACAACATCTGATACAGTTAGCCTGAGATGTTACAGATGGTATCAGATCCGGGGAACCGGATTGGTGAGCCAACGAAGACGTTGGGCTCCCGCGGGGGGGGGGGGGGGGGGGGGGAGGTGGATCGTAAGATCCCACATCGTTTGGGGGGAGGGGAACAAAGGTTGACTCATAAGGGACCAGATACCTCCTCTATCAGACATTCAAAAGCATTTTAAAACCGTGAGTCCATGTATGGACAAAGCGGAAAGTATCTGTTACGATTAGCCTGGGATGTTATAGCGGGAACCAATTATTCATTATGAATATACATCAATATTCATGAATATCATGCATTTTCATTCATTAATATAATTTCATATGAATAATTATCATGATGAAATGGATGGTTCTCACAGTGTCTCATATACATTAAAATCTTGAATTTAGCCAAGTTCATAAGAATATTGTTTTTTGCCCGACCATAATAACACATGTTAGCAATACTTTTGTATTTATTCGTATAAGTAATCTTTAATAAATACTCGCCCGTCCCAAAATAATACCCAATTTCTATATTAGTTTGTACGGAAATAAGAGTCCACTTTTCACAAAAAAAAAAGTGCATATTTTGCTTTGCCACTCTACCCTTAATTAGAAAATGGAGAAATTACGTACCACCCTGTCATCAAGGGTAAACCTGTCATTTAGTTCATTAAATGTGTAACAATTACGCTTCCTAAAACTGTGTGCCTTTTTCATCCTAAACAGTTATTTTGGGACAGAGGGAGTAAACAGATACACGAAATTGTGACATTGGTTTAAAAAACAGTGGTACGTTTGGAGTCTTAACCTCGTGTAAAGACAGGCAAATAACAAGACAGAAATATTACCTTTGGGGAACCAACGAAGACACAAAGCCTTAACGCTGCTGACATCAACGACTACGTGAGAGAAAAGACCAGCCAAATCAGGCATGTATTTCTGCAAAAGAACGAAAACTTGAGAAATTGGTATCTTCGTTTCTCTTCGTGTAATTGGTTCCAACAGAAAAAAGATGATCAGGCTTCATTTTAATTGAACAGAAAAGATTAGACAATTAAGATAAATCGAATGTAGCCATAACTGATAAATGTGTTCACTTCTTGATTGTGCAAAGAATTCATACCATCTGCTAATCTTGTAACATCTGATAATGTGAATACCAGTCTACAAAACGGCAAAGTGGACGATAAACTTGACATATACGTCATCAAATGTTACAAGATCATCAGGTTACCGGTCAAAAAGGGTAAAAATGTAGAAAATTTTGAAACTTTGTTACTGAATGAGAAAAAAAGATATTTTTTACACTATATAGAAACTAGTGTAAATTACAATTTTCATCCCTGTGGTTTGTTAATAATTTCGATTTTCATCCCTGAGATTTTAAAATGGCAATTTTCATCCTTATGGTGTGATAATTATTGCTATTTTCATCCCTGGACCCTGGGTTAATTCCTACCTTAAAGTATAAGGGACCAAAATTGTAAATCATAAACTAGCAATGAATTGAAAGCCATAGGGACAAAAACCATGATTTCTAAATCACATGGACGAAAATAGTAAATTTTAACAAACCACAGGGATGAAAATCGTAATTTACTCTAGAAACTAAGGCAAAATTTATTGCATTTTGCCATAATTTCTACCGTTTCAAATAATTTCTCATGTTTGATGGTTTCACTGTAACTGTGAAACAATAGATTCACGAATTAATCCATACAAGTCGAATGTTCGGATTTTTTTTACCTTCAAGAACATAAAATCGACATAAACTGAATTCCCTGCAAGCAGAGGAGTATATGTGCCCACATGTCTCTTGACAAATTCTATAACCTACAGAAAATATCATGTTTTGATTAAAGAAAACCGAATAACGAAAGCAAACTGATGTAGCTCTTACCAGAAGGGAGCTATTCATCATGAAGAAAAATAAAAAATAATAATCCAATTTCCGGCGACCAAAGTAAATGAAAATAGAAGGAAGCCAATATAAGCAATGCTCCCATAAATTCATTGAAATATAAGCATATAGAACTCTAAAAAAATAAGAGATGGCGGTTTTCGTTATAGAGAAACCCGATTTCTTTATCCTTCCACATATTTAAAATTGAGAGGAACACAATTATTCAATATCTGAATAGGGTTCTCAGAGAGGGGATACGAAATAACAGCAGTACATGAAACCTCAAAACTGGCTGACGTTTGATACGAGTTGATTGTAGCGAAAAGAAGGTGAAATTCTGAAAGCTTGTTGCTTAATTACTATTTAGTGATAACACAAACTGATGATGCTTCCTGATTAGAGATTAGAAATTATGTTTTCAAGTTATAAAAACAAGGACCCGAGTCACAAGATCTGCGCACTACTTCCGGTAAAGAATATGCTCCCTCCGTCACAAAATAATTGCAAAAATTTCCCATTTGGGATGTCTCAACTTAACAGCAACATTTCCTCTTTTGGCAAATTTTCAAGTATATTAATAATGTTGATTATGGTCCTTCAAGAGTCATCCTATTTTGTATGACAATTTTGGGACAAAATACTATTGATTGACGGAAGTTTGGCCTAAGATTATAATATACAAAATATAGTTCTTTATTACAATTATATATTTCATCTTCTATGTATTGTATAATGAATAGGAACCATGTTGACAGCTAAAAGTAACCAGGAACGAGGGTTAAATTACCTGTTGTTCAGATTCTTTTTCACTGAGGGTACTTTGGATCACCTTTTCTGTCAAGCCTATAAAAAATATGACTTGTAAGGCCAAGATAGTAATTATTCAGATGGTAACTGTTGGTGTCATATGTTGATCCCAAAGAGTACATACATGCATATGTGAATGATGTAATAGTTTCTCAGGTATCCCACAAAACCAATAGTGTTCCTGGGACACGTAGGGTTACTACAGGTGCTTTTGTGATGCAAACAGGACCGGAAGAGCGAGCATGAGGTAGGCAGATGAAAGAGCTGTGGAACGTATTAGGATTTTAATTTGACATGGATAGTTATAAGTAATTTACCAATCTAAAAAAAGGCATTTTGATCCCACTCAAGTCTAGTAATGTCCCAGACTAACGTCACGCCAAACGTGGGATATCAAGTTTTGGTACTGCCCTATCCTTCCCCATCCTGTCCCACATACCAAGCGCAACCTAAGTAACCTAGGGCGAACTTCTGTGTGGGTTAAGGCTTCTACATCCCCTATTCATCTTCTTGCATATGTCAACAACTTTTTCCCTAAAAATTTATATATTTATATATAGGGGCAGGTTCCATTAGGAACCTGGGAATCGTCCATTAAAAACATGGACGTGTTTAATTGTATAACACGTCCATATTAATCATAAATGAGTGAAGTAGCACTTCCATTTCCATCATGAATGTGTTATTCATTATGAATAATTGAATATTCATCATGAAGAGGGACATGTAGCGCAATGGGCGGTTCCCGGGTCCCTAACCAATTGTAGGTTCCTAATGGAACTTCCCTCTCTCTCTCTCTCTCTTTATATACATATATATGTAATATAATTATATATACTGTGTATGTCCTCTCATTGTAGACAGTTGATTATAGAATATAATATTGAATGAGCTAAAGACCACTTACCACTTGCTGCATGATGATCTTGACACCATTCTCCCATTTCATCGAGACACTCTTTTGTTTGATGTATGACCAAGTCAGGACCCTGAGCCAAAAATTATATTTTTTAGACCCTATGAAACTAATAGGTTGGCTACTAAAATATAAGCAAGTACATAAACCAAGTTGAACAAAATAAGGTTGTTGAAACAACCATTTCTTATTACACATACAGGGAAATAGTGAAAGGTGGGACATAGAAAAGTATGAGCATACAGACATTAGTAACAAACAAGATGGTAATATAGGAAAAAAGTATCAAAATGTCTGCAGTTCATGGTTCGAATTCGCGAAATGGCAAAATTTTGTCTCCCAACGTGTGTGCAATATTAGATATTCCAGAATGGTGTTTCAACAAAATTGCTCAAATGTTTAACCTATTGTATAATTCTTATGAATGYTATARATTACTTGGTTCTTAGTTATCCTATATTATATAGGTTTTAGCAGCAGACTCCAATTAGTGATTAGTCCTTGTCAACCACTAGATAAATATGTTTATGATGCACTTATCAAGGTACCTAAGCAAAATATATCCTGCAAGTTATGAGAAAAGGGTCATAGGACGTATAATTCAGGTTGCTCTTATCAAAATATTTTGCATAGACAGTTAAAGTGCATGCTCTTCTATTAAATCCTAAGGCTACATTGGCGTTAATAGTAAAACAAAGACAACTCGTACCCAAAAACTTCTTTCTTAAACGACATTCTAACAAAAACCTATGATAAGGTATGATGATGCAAATGTACTAGATATTGCTCCATCTTTTTCCCTATTCAAAGACCACTTTTCAAATTGGTAGAATTCAAGAATATATATATATATATATATATATAATTGTGCCCTTGTTAAATTTGATATTTCATTATTAATTGGACTCGCAATACTTTACTCAATTTGTTAATCCCAATAACTCCTTTCCCTAACTAGTCTTGGTCTATTTAAGGTGTTGTTATATTGTATGAGTCAATTGTGACATATTAGCCTATTAGGACAGTCCAACCCCTTGGTTCAATAAAATATATCATCCTATTTGTTTCCAACATTTAACATTTTCATTTCCGAGTCCATTTGTATGTGTGGGAACTGAAGAAGTGAAGATGTGGATGTGTTGTTGTGGGTCCTATTTAACTTTATGCAAGGGAAATGAAGATTAGACCCACAAAATGGAGAAAAGAGTAAAATGAAACAAATGTATAAAATACATTAATAAATGTTGGAACTGCTTTCTTTTTGGGCTAGAGAAGAGAGAAAATGCAAAAGAATGAGATGAAAGTACCCTAAATCAAGAAACGGACATGAAGAAACATAAACCAAGTAGTTGGCTTTTAATTTGAGATGGGGGAGGTAATGGATAAAAAGATGCACTTACATCACAGGTTAAGCATCGGGGTTTCTTTTTAAGTCTAAAAACCAAAAGTTCATCTTCCTATAGATGAATAGATTCCGTCACCACTTCACTGTTATATGCCCTAGTAATGGTGATTACTTAGAAGGGAGAACCATCCTCAATAGAGACTGATATTCGATGCCTCGCATTTATGATACACTATAGAAACAAAGTACTATGTTTATAAACCTTAAATTTTGTTATGCATTTCATTTCTAGGGATGAAATTTTATACGCTTAGGGGCTGTTCGGTTCGTTTTCTATTAAGACCTGTATGGATATAGTTGTTTGTATTGATATAGTTGTCTGTATATTAACAGATAAGTTGTTCGGTTATTGTGCTGAATAAACAGTCTGAATGATAAAAATGACTATTTTACCCTTGGTCTTACATAGAACATAATAGATCACATCTCTCAAAACAACAATATTAATAGATCAAATCATATAACTGTAAACAAATTGAAACCCCAAATTAAAAAACATACCCAAATCTTGGCATAATAGAATACAAAGGAATGAAACCTAAAACCCAAAATTTAAATGAAAAAGGCAGGTGAGGCAGAGGGATGCAACTCGTCGGTGTGATAGAATACAAACAGGTTGGCATAATAGAATACAAACCCTAAAACGAGAGATGCAACTCGTCGGTGTGTGAGGGAGAGGGCAGGTGAGGCGGCGACGACCGGCAATGGTGAGGCAGAGGGCGACGACCGACGATGGTGAGGCAGAAGGCGACGACCGACGATGGTGAGGCAGAAGGCGACGACCGACGATGGTGAGGCAGAAGGCGACGACCGACGATGGTGAGGCAGAAGGCGACGACCGGCAATGGTGAGGCAGAGGAAGACCGGCAATGGGTGATGGTGAGGCAGAGGAAGACCGGCGATGGCTTTAGGGGAGTTTTTTTTTTCTGGAGAACGAGAGATGGGTTGCAAGGGTAAGAAGGTAAAAAAAATGGCTGAGTGGATAGGACTCTTCTTGGTGGGCTGAGCGAATCAGCCTCTTTCTGGCCCATTAAGTCACTTCCGAACACTTATATATGGCTTAGCGAATAAGCCATACATGCAATATAGCCTATTAAGTCACTTCCGAACAGCCCCTTAGATGAGTAAATAACAAAAGTGTGTGATCAATAGACTTTGAATGAGGTAATGGGATTTTGATATTGTAAATTGGCTAATTTCCAATACATTCCATCAGTTAGAAAGAAAAAATAAGTTACTAAAAGACAGTAACAAGATTATAATGATCAAAGCCACCAGGAGCACGCCAATAATTAGAAAGCAAGGCCAACATTCAACTTACCTCTACAGATTTGGTCAAGTTCCCATCTGTAATCACACAGGCAATCTCCAGTATTCTATCTACTTCAACATTCAATCCTGCACATGAATCAAATTTATAATGAGGACAAGAGGAACCAACAGAACAGAGTAACAAACTTGGAAGAGCAAACAAAATATGAGTCTTAAACTGACAGCATATGATTAGGCCAAGACCAAGACACATGGTTAGGCCCCAAGCAACCTATATAGTGTTGGATATTTTTTTATTTAAATGGAAATTTCAGTTTTTTTGTTTTCTTGGTTTTTTGGTTTTGGTTGACAGTTTTTGTGTAACTGTTGAAACATTTTATCCATAAGAACCCTATTTGTATTAGAGTTTTTTCTTGCTCCCTTAACATGTCATCTGTCCATTTTTCCTGAGTTTTCTTTGTTCCTTACAAGTGTTCTAACACTAAATGAGAGCTGCACATCATTGAGTTCGAACGACTTCATATATCGGTTCCGCGATTGACGAAGTTATGCATACATTGTTGTATCCTGGGAGACATATTGTCATCTAATTCTTTCGGCAAATACGGGACAATTTTGTCTTAAGGAGAGAGCTAAATCTCGACTCAGGTTCAACTTATTTGTTCTTTATTATCCATAACGTCTCGTTACTTCTGTTTTATATGTGTTCTGTTTTGTTTGGATGAAATCTTTTATATATTAATCTATGTGAAATCAAAAGAGAACATATAGAACCTAGGAAAGAAAGAAAGAAATCCATGTTCTTGGTTTCAAACCACCAACTTATTATCCACTAGTCTATTTGGGTGCGTTTGGTACATTGGACAAGATAGAACAGAGATCATTGCTCCACGCCTCCCTCTTTACATTTTATTCATTCTTCTAAAACATCAAATACGCCTCCCTCTTTACATTTTATACCACTTTACATTCCTAAAAATATTAATTTTATATAGTTTTTATATTTTGATTGTTTTATGTAATTTATTAAATATTAATAATAAAAAATAATATAGAAAAGGTATAAAAATATTTATTTTTTATAATTTAATAAATTACATAAATTAAACAAAATATATAAACAATTCATTAGGGGTAAATTGGTCATTTTATTTGTTATCTTCTGTCCAGTTCTATCTTACCGAACGCTGAACAATTGTTCTTACCAAACACACCCTTAATGACGAAGAAGCTTGGTTGTGCATAGTGTGCTTAGGTAGGAAGACTAGAGTTTTCTTAACACTCATATTAGTAACTAAGCAGTAGCATATCCATAAATATCCTTTCAAGGAGCTTTAGAAGGTAGTCCAAGCTATTGGCATGTATCAGTACACAAACAAATCCACGAGGACACACCATGGCTCTTTTTCAATAAGATAAGATTCTCAATGATAGTTGGTTACTTGGTTGTATTTACTATTTTTGCGTTAATAGCTTGGTTTATGGCAGGCAGCAGGTTTAACCGCATTTTACATGTGTTGGATCTATTTACTTGCTTTTGAAGAACATTCAAAAGTTCATTTTCAAAAGTACAGTGTAAAAAAGAATACCCCTTTCTATTCAATCTCTCTATGCACATAAATAGGTTGTACATGTACTTCTCAACAATAATTTGTCCATCCACCTGATTCATACATCCACAATCATTATATATATATATATATAAGAACTGTCAACTAAATACCTACCTGTCATTTCCAAGTCAATCCACACGAGAGGCAACCTGTATTCTCCTTCTAGCTTGTCTAGGCTTTGATGCCTGCCTGTATCATTCTTAGTTACAGTCGCACCCTCGACACTATCAGTTTCTTTCTTAGAGTCACCTGAACCACCCAATAAAATGTGGATATAATAAGTAACAACACTTTTCGTATCCTATTAACTCAAAATAACATTTTAATTGGTTATAAGATGATGAGCTCTTAGGGAAGTCCCAGGGGGTATGCAAACAAAAAGTTGATTCAAAAACACATTTACAGGCCCTGTTGGAAGTACAGACCATTTTAGCAACAGAAGAAAACGTCATTGCATAACTTCACAGTAAATAAACATCATTTAATATGGGAGTGCAGGTATTAGAGCCTCACTAAAAATAATTAACCACAAAGTCATTGATTGGTCGAAACTGAAAAAGGTGGCACTACGGAATTAGGAATAACCGCTTGAAACATATACCATTGTCTTTCTCTGTCTTATCAGCAACAATCGTTGTCTGTTCCCTATCATCCTCCACATCCAATTCTAGCACAGAAAAAGCATTCGTGAGCCTGTCCATATTTACTTAAAATCCTTTTTCGATTCTTCAACCATTAAGATCCTGTGACAAGAAACTGAGTGAAATGCCAGCAAAGTATATTTGATAAAGAAATGTTATGAAGAAATGCAGTATTTTCTTTCTCCAGAGAGATATAGCTTATAGAATCAAAAGTAAGATATAAAAGTAGCATGACATTTGTTCCTTCCAAGCTGTAAGTGTTTCGGCTAGTGCATTGCCATGTTGTGTAGAAGTGAACTTTTCACCAAAAACAAATAGTTTTCTTGGGTCCTGTACCTTATTCTAGCATTGATTGATGAACTATCGTAGAAATGTGAAAGATGTCTTTCACATTCATTCAGTTTTCAATGTAATTGCCTTCTTCTAATGTTTGGCTCTTTACATTCTTTTATAACTCTTGTAATTATGTGTGCCTATCTTTATGCATGTAGTTGTTATTTGTTTTTCTTTTATGCAGCCGGATCTATTCTCGGAAACAGCCTCTCTGTCTTGTTTCACAGAGGTAAGGACGTAAGGACCCCTCACCCCTCCACAACCTACCTTCAGGTGGAATATAATGGGTCTATTATGTTTGGTTTGAGTTGGTATATACAAAGGCTACGACATAAATACATACTCATACACTCACGTAAATGAAGTTTCTAGGGACCTCCTCTTTAAAATGTTATGAAGCATAGAAGGCAAAATATCACTTAAATATTATCTTTACACCAGCTTCAGGTATTGCTAGCATAAAGTATTTTCCTTTTATGGGTTGAATACTATGAGTTCTTGTCCATTAAACTAACTGAGCTAAAGCTAAGCCTTGTAGTCCACTTTTTTCTTGGATTCATGACTCATGACCCTGCTAGTTTACTCCATTTTCTCAGATGATAAAGAAATATGTTCTAACTTTCAGGGTCTCATCTTCCTAAACTACTCGTAAAATAGTCCATTCGAACAGGTTCGTTGCATGCTAAACTCAATTAGCTCCGCAATTGAAGTCGCTAAGCATTAAAAGTGGCATGAAGAAATAGGATCTGACATAAACAATAATAAAAGAGCACAGGGGAATGAATATAAATATGCCCAAAGTTAAACTCGATCCTACAGTAAAAGCTTTCATCTTTAACCTACCAATAAACCCCCAAAACCCTACTCCTGTAGTTCTCACATAATCAATAACACAATTGAAATAACAGTAATAAAAGCAATGACTATAACACTTTACAATCGGCATCCTTCCAAAACAAAATCCCAGAAATCAGTTACACGTCCACTGATTCTGTACCATGGCTATCAAATAATTTCAGTCAAAGTGTAAACTAGATGGAGAGAATGGCGTTGTGATGTACAAAGTATATATGTATATATGTATAGCTTACAAATTCACGAATTAGAAACAGAAAGGTACCTTCATATAGCAGAGCAATTGGAGGGAAATTAGGTTGAAGATGGATCGTTTTGTAGTTCCGATTAAGGATTTCGATTTTCGAACACCAACTGTTGCGGAAATAGTCAAATCTCTTTCAAACATTTGGGTACAAATTACGTACGGCCCATACATGGAGAATCTGATGGGCCTTTGAACTGGTTTCTCTCTCGGTAAAAGTATCTCCAATATATTTCTTCTATAATTTTTCAAAAAAAATTACATTCGTTTTTTACAGATTTTGTATTTTTGAGATTTTAACATAAATTATTTATATTTATGCTATATTATAAAGTATTTGATAAAAACTCTTAAAAACTATTTTTTACGCATTAAGTATTGTATATTGATGCATATTGCTTAAAATTCAAGATTACAAGTAAATTATGCATAAGTATAACGTATTAAAGTTTCATGTTTGAATTTGTGTAATTAACTGTGAATAAATATAACCAAATAGATAAACATCTCATTTTAAAATATTAAAAATCTAAAATATAATTAGGATAATTATCGAGTTCTAACAAAATAATTAATTATTATATTTATAAGAAAATTATATTATTAAATCAAATATAAATTACTTTGTTATTGAGCCTAAATTAAATTAWAATWRAAAAAATTTTACACAAAAATATAAATTTTAAATAGTTAATTTGATACTAATATTGATATATTTTTGTCAAATTGTTATGATATCTTCAAATTTATATTTWWTYMAAAAWWAAAATATCATCGTTTTTTCAAAATCACATAAGACCATACTATAACATCGACTGAGATAAAGAATAAAATGAAAAATTAAAATCAAGATGTATCTCGCTGCATTGCACGAGTATCCTTCTAGTCTATACTATATTATAAAACATTTGACAAAAACTCTTAAAAACCACTTTTTATGCGTAAAGTACTGTTTATTGATGCATATTACTTAAAACTCAAGATTGCAAGTATATTGTGAGCAAGTACAACTTATTAAAGCTCCATATCTGAATTCGTGTAACTAACTGCAGATAGGCATAATCAAATACATGATAAACATATCATTTTAAATATAAAAAATATAAAATATAATTAGGATAATCATTGAATTCTAACAAAATACTTAGTTGTTATTTTCATAAAAAAATATATTATTAAATCTAAATTATTTTTCTTTGTTACTAAACCTAAATTAAATTATAATTAAAAAATAAATTAAGAAAATTACACCAAAACACAAGAACTTTTTTAAAAAATTAATTTGATACTGGTATCGATATATTTTTTTATAAATTTATGATATTTTCAAATTTATATTTTATTCAAAAATAAAAACATTATCGTTTTCTCAAAACCAAATAAAACCGTATTATATCGACATAAAAAAAAGAATAAAACGAAACACTTAAATCAATATATGTCTCGATGCATTGCACGAGTACCCTTCTAGTTATATTATAAACCATTTGATAAAAAACTTTTAAAAATCATTTTTATGCATGAATTACTGTTAATTTAAGCATATTACTAAAATTTAATATTATAACTAAATTGTACATAAGTATAATTTATAAAAAGCTCCATTTTTTAATTTTGTGTAACTAATGTAATCAAATACAAGATAAATATCTTATTTTAACTATAAAAATTCTAAAATATAATTAAGATAATCATTAACTTCTAATAGAATACTTAATTATTATCATTATAAAAATTTATATTGTTAAATAAAAAATAAATGACTTCGTTATTAAACATAAATTAAATCATAAAAAACACTTGAATTATAAAATTAAAAAAAATTAATAGTTAATTTGATATTAATATCAATATATTTTTTTCAAAGTTTTATAATATCTTCAAGTTTATATTTTATTCAAAAATAAAAACATTAGTGTTTTCTCGAAACCATGTAAAACCATATTATATCAACAGGGACAAAGAAATAAACAAAATATTAAAATCGAAATGTATCTCGCTGCATTGTGTGAGTGTCCTTCTAGTATTATTATAATATTCTCTATATTAGAAACAATATAGCAAAATTGTTAGGGTATTGTAGATTTTTATTCATGGAAAAGCTGTTGAAGATGCTCTAAGTAAATATAACTTTAGAAAAATTAATTAAAATAATCATTTTCAGATATTGGTTTCATCTGTTGATCATTTCTCTTCCAAAATCACCAAAATGTCACTAGATCCATAAGTGGTAGTTACACGGTTTGCGGATGAGTAAAAGTGTAAAAAAAAGATTTTGAACTAGATCTGCAAGTGTAGGGACTAAAACTGTAAATTAGTCCTAGCACCTAATAAGTGCCATTACAGACCTATATCAAATTTACATATTTGGCCTTTTCACTTGTGAATCTGGTTCAGAAACTTTTTTTTACACTTTGATCCCCTCCGCAAATTACGGACCTGTCACTTGCAGGCCTAATGACATTTTAGTAATTTTATGAGAGAATGAAATAATAGGTGAAATCAAAAGCCGAAAATTGCTATTTTAATTAATTTTCTATAACTTTATTATATATATATATATATATATATATATATTTTTTAATTATTTATTTTATTTTATGTTTTTTGAATTTTCACTTTAATGTCCATAAAGTATTATTTATATACGGTTTTTATATTTTGATTAATTATATAGTTTATTAAATATTAGTAATAATAACATGTATACAATAAAAATTGAAAACTGTATAAATTCCTGATTATTTTTCGATTTTGAAAAACGACCACTCATTTGAAGTTTTCTATTGCCTCGATTTTTCAACTACTAAGACAAAAGGTTTCAGATATAAGTAGACAACATCTTTATCTGCACTTTCGGTTCAAGAAGATCGGTATTTCATCGAGTTTAGAGAAAGAAGAGGTTGAAGTTCGAGGTCGAAAAGCTTCGTTTATCGAATATTGGAGGTAAAATACTCAACCAAATTTTCAAGTTCTTTATATGGCTAACTTTTTCTTTACTTCATCTATTGAACCTTGGTAGCCTTATGTCTCATATTTTTATATTGAATGTCCAATCTTGACTTTTTCTACGATTTCCGATTTTTCGACTTCTTTTACGATTTCTGATTTTTGAATCCAAACTTTAAATGAACAAATAAGACTAAATACTTGATGGTTTTCGTTGATAATTATTCACATGGCCAATGAAATAAATTTCTATAGTTCATTGAAAACATCAGCAAAAACGGTTTAATAATTTTCTGTGGATATAGCTGTCTGTATTGATGTAGTTGTATGTAAATTAACAGATAAGTTGTTTTTCGGTTGTTATGCTAAATAAATAGTATGAATACGTTGGAGATTAATTAATAATTAGGAATTTAATTAAATAATCAAATATATATTTTAATTAATATACTAATTTAAATTATATTTAATTAATATATTATTTTAATTTATAAATTTAGATTATTTAATTATAATAAGGGGGTGTTTACAATAATCATTAAGATTATTTTTAATGATTTATATCGAGATTAAAAGTTAAAACGTCATATTTTGAGTTTGTTAATTATAGGGACACTTTAATTTGAAGAGATGAATTTATAAGGCTATAAAATGATGAATTTGACGTTTTGGGACGTCATCAAGTTATAGACTTGGGGTTTGACTAAAGTTGGTTGAGATTAGGGGTGAGCAGCGGAACCGGGTACCCGGTTATAGAACCGGAACCACCTTGGAACCGCCGGTTCCAGAACCGGAACCGATATGAGTGATTCTGGTTCCTAAAATACGGAACCGATTGAGAATGGTTCCGGTTCCGGTTCTCAATTTTTCGGAACCGTTACCCGCCGGGTACCCGGTATTTTTCAATAAAAAAATAATAATTTATTTTTTAATACCAAATTTATATTAGCTTTACATATTAAAAGCACGTCGTCATCTTCAATCTTCATCTAAATTCTTCATATATATAAAATGATTCGTATTTTTTCAAATTGTGTGTTCACTTGGATTCATAGTATGTAATCGTTAAACTTTGAACAATTACCATTATAATATGTAATCGTTAAACTTTGAACATTTTCTATTAGTCTATTATAGTTTGTAATCGTTAATCAATATTTGTAACCATTATTCTGTATAATTTGTATTCTTGCTTATTTATTTAGTGTTTTAACAATGTTTTATTTTTTATTTCTAAATAACAAATTTTTAATATTTTAGGAAGCGGGTACCCGGAACCGGAACCGGTTCCCGGCGGTTCCGGTTCCAAAAATTTAAGAACCGCTCTAACCGGTTCCGGTTCCAATATCTCAAGAACCGCCGGTTCCGGTTCCGGTTCCTGTCAAAAAGGGCGGATACCCGCCTATGCTCACCCCTAGTTCAGAGTTGACCAAATATTTGACTTTTGACTCACATGAATTGTAATTATGGGGTGAAATTAATTTATTTGAGACATATTAGGATGCTGGAAGATGGGGTTTGACTTTAAGTCGGGGTGAGGTTGATCATGGTTGACTTTTGGAGAAATTAAGTCATTAATGAGGTATGATGATATGAAATGTATAAGTCTTCGTATGAACATGTGCATCTTCATGAGACTTATAACGAGATGCATACTTACGTACAAATTTGTTTTTAGCATTATATAGTTTGTATGGTGATGTGTACATATGCATAATGTTTTAGTTTACATACATGATACAATATATTTGACATGTATGTTATTTATGATTAGTTGAATGTTCTGTGTTTATTTTGTTTTCAAATAATTATAGTATGCTATTTCATATAAAAGTTTTGCTATTTCAAACAAGTGACATGATCCTGTAATGGGTGTCTATACAAGTATATATATGACCATATAGTTTATGAGATTTTTTTTCTTTTAGCGTTGCATGTTTTCACATAATGCATTGATTTGATATAGAGTTTACATGTTCATATATATGATGTAATGTGTTTTTATTCACATAAACCATAAACTCACTGAGTTTTATAAGCTGACTACAATATGTATATCAGGGACAAAAGGTTTCGGATGGAACAAAAGAAAACGACACACATAGAGACTTGTCTTGTCCATTTAAGTTCAGTATCTATGTTCAAACATCTAAGGTGGATAAATCTTGCAACGCAATCCGGTATGGGACGGATTATCATTTAAGTTACATATATTATTGTTTTAAAATATTCCGCTCTAAATGGTATACAGTTTTAATTTAAAACGTTATTTTTGAGTATCTATACAAGACTGTTTCAGATGACGTGACATTTTCATGGAAAAATGAGGGTGTTACATGAGTCATCAAATCTGTAAGACATGTTCAACCACCATTTGTTTTTATTTGTTGAAACATAAATTTCACATATTTTAACGAGATTTTGAATTTATTTTTTTCATTATCGATTTATAATAAAAATATCATATCGTGTTGCATCACAAGAGCATACAACTAGTATTAAATGAGAACTTAGGAGCCGTTTACCAAACATTTACCTGGTAAGTGCTTACCGGTAAAACTTAACACTACCATTTAAAACCAGATTCTAAAACAATAAATTAATAGTTGTGTACCCGCGCAATGTGGCGGGAGTCGTGAATTTTAACGATTTTGAAGTTTCACTGGTTTTATTATAGAAGATTTAACGATGATATAAGTTACACTTGGTATTTACATATTAATACAATTTGAATAAATAAGAGTTATGGTTCCAATTACAGTCTATCGATGAAAAAAATTGTATGACAACTTAAAATCCAATATATTTAAAATCCAACATATTTAAACGACTCCACAAATGTGTTTGATTTACACCAAGAGCAAATAATCAAGAGATCGAGAGCGAGACCGAGAGTTATAGAGCAATCGAATGAGAGAACTTTTAATAACTCATGTTGAATATTAGTTTGAATCTCACATTGGGGGACGAGAAGAAGACATAGAGGTACAAGAGAGTGAAAACATGAGTGAAATGTGTAACATGAAAATAAAAGGTAATAATGTGCATTGGTAACTTTCACTATATGTTATTTTAAATGTAGATTAAAAATTTTTAAGACTGAATGTATCAAGTAGCAATACTTATGCATTATGAGTTGTTTTTAAGACTTTGTACATAAATGTATAGTATTTTGTACATTAAAATTTGTTTTTGATAAATATGATTTATAAGGTAGTATAAATAAATACGAATTTAAATAAAAACTAAAAAACAATTAAAATCACCAAAAAATTCAAACACGATATTAAAAATTTAATTTTATTACAAATTTAAACCAACAAATGGAAACAATGTCTAGTCCTCACTATCGGTATCCCAAGAACCCCTTTATAAAGTAGAAGGGTTTTTCTCTGCTCATTTCTTCGTGGTTTTCAAATCCTTCCAACTTCTACAATAAACTGTTTACAGGTGATTTCTTCTTCCATTTCTGAACCAGCCTAACCAATCTTGGTACCAATGGCGGCCCTCGTTCCTCCTCCAGTCTCGCCGGCCGCGGCGGAAGCGATCAAGCCGGAGAAAGTCGATTACATGGACCTGCCGACCCCTATTCCTTACGAAGAAATCCACCGGGAAGCCCTCAGTTAATATCATTCTGTTCTTGAACCTCAGTTACTGAATTTGCTATAGGAATTAGACGTGTTTTGGGTTTTTATTGTAAATGGGTTTAGGTAGTTGATTGGAATTGTCGCGTAAACCCTAACCCCATTTTCATCGTTAAACCCTAAGTTTACTTAATGATTGTCAGAATCTTACTTTTTGAATTAGAACTGTTTTTATGGTTACTAAATATATGTCTGTCTTGTCTTCTTTGTGGCATCGGAGCATGTATCATGGGGTTCAAGAGGTCTTTATTATATTTTTGAAATTGGATGTCCTGCTTAACTCTGTATAAGTAATGCATTTGCTGTTCGGAAATCTAAGAGCAAATTCTACAAGGACTTTAGATTCAAGAAGTAAAATCTTTGGTCATGGAAATCAAAGTTTTGCTGCTGTGTAACTGAGAGTGGGATCTATTTGAAGTTGAAATTTCTTGGACTATCTGTGATTGGTTGACTGTCTTGATGTTTTCTATCAATTTTTCTATTGGCACAAGGCATATTTAAATTAATTGACAGTAAGAATACATGATGCTTCCAGTGAATTGGGACATTGAAGAACTTGCAAAATAGAAAAACAGGGGCAGGTTCATTCAGGAACCTTATATTACCTATTTTATATAGTATTCATGATGAATAGTCTGACAAATATTGATGGTGAATGTGGTGCATGTATTCATGTTGATAATATTCATTATTATTCATGGTTATTCATCATGAATATTACATAAAATAGGTGGTTCCGGGATTCTCAAAATATTTAAGGTTCCTAAACGAACTTTATTCTATGAAAATATATGAATTTGTACCTTATCTGTTAAAAGCATCTTAGATTGAATGCATTGTTTTTTTCCTTAGTGTCCTTAAAGCCTGAACATTTCGAGGGGATGCGTGTTGATTTTACCAAAGGACTGAATCAGAGGTTCTCACTGAGTCACAGGTAACTAATTTAACATAAACATTTTATTCTTCAAGTTGGTATGAGCATTCCTCCTTTGATTTGACAAGCATCCCATTTTTAACTTTACAGTATTATCATGGGACCCACCGAGATTCCTTCTCAATCCGCTGAAACAATTAAAATTCCTACTGCACACTATGAGTTTGGTGCTAACTTCATAGATCCAAAGGTCGGTATTTACAATCGCATGTCATCAATGATAAATGTTTGTCTATAATCGTCAATCTCACTTTGATAGTGTTGCTTGGTGTGCCGTAGTTGATGCTTTTCGGAAGGGTCTTGACCGATGGGCGGGTTAACGCCAGAGTGAAATGTGACTTGTCTGAGAATCTTAGCATGAAGGCCAATGCTCAGGTAAAAGGGTAGAAGTGTAGTTGATATTTACTTTCCCATCAAGCATTGTTTGGCTGAATGAACGTCATAAAACCTAAAATAACTATTCATTAATTCCATGTCTTTCTTCTCAGCTTACAAGTGAGCCGCACATGTCGCATGGGATGGTTAACTTTGACTACAAGGTAACTTATTCGTCTTGTTGGCTCTTGCTCTTCATAACACATATAATGCATATATATATATATATATATATTTTAAATTTTATTAAGTTATTTTATTTAGTCTTGAAAATGGAGGATACCATCAAGCACACCTCAGGTTTCAATGTGTTAAAAATCATACAAGTCTGTTCCAACTATTGAGTTTATTTGTTTACTCATTTTGTGTGTAGGGTACCGACTATAGGGCTCAATTTCAACTAGGAAATGGTGCCTTACTCGGAGCTAGTTATATACAGGTAAATTTTTGCCATCTCTTATATTAATGCAGGTACGTAATTAGCAATATGTTCATTGAGTTTGGGTATGTCCCCTGGCCTTTAGAATGGTAAATGCAGTACTGCACTATGTGAAATGCCTTATAAGATAGAACAGTCAACTTTTGGTGCTTACTTGGAGGAATGTTGTTCTTCTATAACTGTAACTCAAGTATTTGATAGTAGCACCTAGGATATTTCTATTAAAAGGTGGGCATATTAATTAAGTTGTTTGTCACCAATACACTCATACAACTGTTTCCTGACTTGTACAGCACGAGGAATAAAATCTTCTGATTTCCAGAATATATGATGGGTTTGCAGATCTTCGATTGGTGTCCAATTATACAATCGTATTTGATTGTTTGCCAATTAGCCCCATTATGGATGACTAATCTGTCTTAGGGTCTGTTTGTTAGCAGCTTAATTAGCTTAATGGGACTCGCAACTTATTCGGTCAACTATACATGACTGTTTGGTTGTGGTTTAATGATATAGAAAGTGGCTTATTCAGTAAGCTTCTAGGGGGAAGCTTTATGCAGAAAACCAAGTTTTTCCCAAACCTGCCCCGCCCAATAAAAAACAGGCTCCTTCCATCTATGTAAAAACCCTCTCAAACAAAAACTTTCCTTATCTATACAAACAGATCAATCCACATAGACAACTTTGTCCATACATGACTTAATGGAAAACCTACCGAACATCCCCTCACCAGTCATTAGATATATCAGAGTTGCTGATTAGTTTAGTTCTGTTTCTTCTTCCTGGGCATGCATCGTTGTCACCTTAAGGATTTATTTTCTTTTATCAGAAACAATTTTTATGTTTCATATTTTTCTTGCAGAGTGTGACCCCTAATCTGTCCTTGGGCGGGGAAGTATTCTGGGCTGGTCAGCATCGTAAGTCTGGTCTTGGTTATGCTGCCCGATACAACACAGATAAAATGGTAATTCCCTCATACTGTCATATCTGAAGATTTAACATATCATTATTTCTAATATGTATTGTTACATTTGGTCGCATACTTTGAATGATTTTCTTGGTTGATTATGTTCAGAACTTTTTGTATGGGAATAGCACGAGATACCAGTGTGAGATGCAAAAATAAACAAGCTAAAGCCTCCTCATTTGTAGTAAACCTCTCCCTTCCGATTGTGCAAAATGTGATTTTTGGTCCCAAAAATGGTGTGCTCAAACTTTGGCCCAACGGTATCTGGTAACCCGACCTTTCTAGAGGTCAAAGGGTTCCGACCTCACCAAAAGGTCAGGCGTGTGCGATTTTCACTTGCCGTATATGGAGATTATATACTTTGATCATGTTGCCTTACTTGCTATATGGGGTAGAGGGCGGGCAGTATAGGCCTCTGGATGTGTTTTTGCCTTGCTTGCTCTGTGTGGGTTTTGTCTACCTTACCGTTTGTATGTTTTTGATGTATCCATTCGTTGCTTTTTCTTATTTTCCCGTGCGTCGTTCATCGTATGCTTATCTACATTCCTGCTACCTGTTTGCTCACACACTTGCACAAGCCAGGGGGTCTTCATAGAAACAACTGCTCTACTTTTTTGAGGTAGAGATTAGGTCTGCATACCTCACCCTCCCTAGTCCCTAGACCCTACTTCAAGTGGGATTAAGGGTTCGTTTGGTTTGGTTTTTTTTATTTTGTTTTTTGTTTCCTACTGGTGGGTGTGGAGTATTTCCTATGCTTTAATTTCACCACCAAATTTGCTCATATTTTTGGATGTTAGTAAAGCTCATTCCATTCGTACAGGTTGCTGCAGGACAAGTTGCTAGCACTGGAATGGTGGCTCTTAGCTATGTTCAGAAAGTGTCTGAAAAGGTAAGCAATTCAAACTTTTTAAATATTATCGGTATACTTTTTTGCACTTGCTAGCTTACTACATCACTATCGGTTTTTTCGTCGTAGGTTTCTTTGGCATCTGATTTGATGTACAATTACATGTCAAGAGACGTCACTGCCAGCTTTGGCTATGATTATATCCTTCGCCAGGTAATTCAACAAAGCCCTTAATATTTTCATTTTTTACGTTTTTCTTCATTCAAATAGAGTTTGGCAACTTGCTGTCTTTTGATCTTACAAGATTTCACCACCAAATTTGCTGTACAGCAATGTGTAGGATCAACATAATGAGGAGTTGGGTTGAAAAGATTGATGTGTAGTTTTATAAAATATTAGTTGGGATTTCGTTTGCTTAAATATAAACACGCAATACCACCTCATGATGCAGACATTAAAAGATAAGTAAGTTCAAGGATAAAAATACAACACCGTGATTTAAAATGGTTCAGATCTCTTATGTCACGTCTATTGCTCGAGTAGCCGGAGAGCTAGGAATCCACTAAATTACTCTTTATGGAATAGTAAAACCTTTGTATAATTAGAGCTTAACCACTCAAGAACATTGTTCCAGTTCAAATGAACAATCAAGACTGATCCAATGATCAATCAAGTAATCTCACATTAGATACTATGTACAAAGATTTTTTTTTTGAAAGGAAACCAGGCAAATAATATGTACACAGAAATTTGATTACTTATAAAAATACACAAGTTGTAATGTTGAGTAATCAATAAATTATTGTTGAACAATTGACAAAAATTTCTTTGTATGAATAAGTTATGAAGTATTGATGCTTGCAAAGGTAATGCTTGCAAAGGTAATGTACATTAGATATACTATGTACAAAGAAATTTGATTACTTATAAAAATACACAAGTATTGATGTTTCTATCATGTCTGGGTACCAAACGCACTCTCACAGAAGCTTGTGAAAGGGTTCAACAGTATATTTGACTTTTGGCCGTTCTGAGTGGAATATAGCCTTAGGACTTGGACGGATGTCCGTTCTTAACATCATGGATCCTTGTGAGAGGCGAACTCAACCTCTCATGTTCTTTTTAAAAGATAAATGAAATTTAAGATAAAATAGTTTAAATTTCCGTAATAAATTTTGAACAGTTAAAAACCTCATCTTATAACTGAATCTCACTTGAACTTTTGAATCAAATGAACATGCAAGAGATCTTTGATATCTTCGGCTGGTTTTATATTGTTATCTAGCTTATCAACTAATTTTTACCAAACATTACTAGTTTATTAGCCAACAACTACCTTCTTAGCTAGTTTGCTAAACATTGTCTTAGGGGTCTTATACTAAAAGCTTATTGGTAAGCGCGTAATGGGTCATTTACCTTACCGGATGAACATGGCAAGAGCCGAGAATCTTACCTGCCTACCTAGTAAGAGCGATGATAAGGCTTACCGGGTAAATTGTTGCATACAATACCGTTTCGATGGACTACAATCTTACCAGCTAAAGTACGTTAGAGTATTGATTTTTACTGGTAAGTGCTTACGGGTAAGCGTTTGAGTGGGTAAACAACCTCTTAGTAACCGTAGGCTGATATCAATGCTATTAATTCAATCTGACTTGTGGAACCTTGAGATAGGCGTGATTTTCAAATGTAGTATCATAGCAAACCATGAGATTCATATGATGAATAGAAGGATAAAACATTCTTTAAAGCATTTTCCGAGTCCATTGATTTTTTTTTCCTGTTTACATTAACAGTGTCGGCTTAGGGGCAAGATCGACTCAAATGGCTGCACATCGGCTTTTCTTGAAGAAAGGTTGAATATGGGTCTCAATTTTATTCTTTCTGCTGAGGTGAGTACATCTATCACCCGATATCTCAATACACATACACCATAAAGAAATCCAGACCAGTGCCATTCTTTTTAAGTATATATACTTTTTCCGTTCTAAATAAGTGTCCACTTTCTAATTTTACCCTTAAACATAAGAGGGAGAAATTCATTACTCCCTTTATCATCAAGAGTAAAATTGTCATTTAGTTAATAAAAAGTGTAATAATTGCACATTTCTAAAACCGTGCATTTTTTGTGCACATTTATTTTGGGGAAATTAACGTAAATAGTCGTTTTACCCGGCTCAATTCACCTTCTAGCCAGCTCTCTCCCACACTCGCCAAAAAGTCAACACCTCTTCAAGTGCCCATACACAACTTGTGGAAGGGGTATTTAAAAAAAATTCATACTTGAAGATCTACGAGTGGACGTGGCTTGTCTTGGAAAGTGGGAAGTAAGCTTTCAACCCTCCGCTAATGGCCCGTTTTCGACCCTCCGCAAGTGGCAAGCTTGTCTTGACTAGTAAGGAATGGCACTCCGAGTTATTTTAGAGAAGTGCTTCCTCCACAAGTTGCATTAAGGGCACTTGCGGAGGTATGAGTTGGCTAGGAGATGATTTGAGCCGGTAAAATGGCTATTTACATTAATTTCCCTTTATTTTGGAATGGACGGAGTTGTATTTGTATACACCACAACAAACACGCACTCCTCACTTTCAGTGAGGCTTGAAACCTAGGGGATCTACTAGTAACCTGGGTACTGCTGTGCCGATGACCCTTGATCAGTGGCATCTTCATTGGCGTCTGTCTATTGGCATATCAAGCAACCATTGAGGATTGAGTTGATATTTTACAGTTTATAACCATTTTACATGCTGCGCGTGTTTTAAATTTATATGCAAATGCAGATCGACCACATGAAGAAAGACTACAAGTTTGGGTTTGGATTGACGGTTGGAGAATAGGGAGAAGCAGCAGCAACGCGGGATGCAGAATCTACTCATTGTTTCAAGTGAGTCAGCTTGTCATACGAGACTGATTAAATTTTTTTCATCTTACGGACAATTTTGTACCTTTTTTGAGCAATATTGTTTGTGGCGGCAGTTCCAAATGCATGGAACAGTTTAGAGCAGCATTCGTAGACGTTAAATTTTGCAGTTTGGAGATATAATTCAATATAATTGTGGTTTCAGCCGTTTGTATGGATCATAATAAGGATCAATTTGCATTGTTAGCGTAAGGTGATGTTACTGAAATAACGTGACACCTTAGCACTCCCGGTTAAAGCTTGGGTTAACCTAAATTCCACCCTTTCCGCTAGGGCGAGGGTTGGTTAAGGAACCTAAGCCCCGTCCTTTTCACTAGGGTGGGGCTTGGATAGAATCCGATTAAGGCTAGGTTCACCCAAGTCCTACCCCTTTTTGTTAGGGTGAGGCTTGGGTTGGATCTGTTAGGTTAACCTAATCCCCACCCTTTTTACTATGGTGAGGCTTGGATAGCATCTGGTTAATCCTAGTTTAACCTAAGTTGCCACACTTTCTCGTTTCTACGAGGGTGAGGCTTGGGTTGGGTCTGGTTATGGTTTTATGGCTAGGTTCACATAAGCCTCACCAAGGTCTAAATATGCTAGAAAATGTTTAATTCAATATCTGGTAGTTATTCAAATGTTTGTTTCGGTATCTGATAAACTAGGGATGTTCAAACGTCTGATCGTTTCAGTTATTGTTTCGTTCTAGGTTGTTTTACGTATTGCGAGTTTTCTGCTACATAACGTGATGAAATTAAGTTTGTTTTCTGCTACGTAATGTGAATATGAGAAACTAGCCAAACCCGAAACTAAGTTTGTTTTCACATTTTCGTAAATAAAGGGTTTGAGTAACGCTTACGTCGTTTTTCTAAGAAGACCTTAAATTCGTAACTGGAATTTCACAATTTACGTAACTGACATAAAGAAAATGTAATGTGAATGACACCGAAAGTTTGCAGTTTTTGTTATCGAACAAGAAATCTAACCAGTAACACTGTTTATTTTTATTTGATAAGATTTTTAATCATTAATTAAACAATCTTATTTATATGAGTTCACTAGGAATGACTACTGGCCGGGTATTGTTATCCTCGTCCCCGAAACCGATAATGAATACCGTCCTCGTAACCGGCCCGATCCCCCTCGAGTCCCTGCGGTTTCCCTGATCCCCGTTGGGGAACCCGTTAAGAGTAAAAATCCTTTTTCCCCGTTGGTTATACCCGAAACCTGAACCGATCTGAAAAAATTACAATTTACGTTAATTTTTACAACTAAAAGTAAATTACAATTTTTTAAAGATGTAAAGTTCAAATGTCTTGAACATAATCAAACCAATTATAAGCAACGTCTTATATTATTATATAAAAGTAAACAAAACTTTAAACATCAAACAACTAACATCACAATTTCACGATTATACAAAATAAAGTAGACTTTTTTGTAAGCCTTATTTGATGTTGAAGTAAATTGAATAAAAGTCTTTTAAATTTTAATGTTAGTATTTTCTTTTAGTGATATATATATATATATATATATATATATATATATATATATATATATATATAAAAGTTGGTTATTATACAACCCTTGACATTTGTGTAATCAATACAACCCAATCTCAACCGTACATTTCATTTGATTAATATGTGATTTTATAGAAGTTTTGATTGTTTACTAATATAAAGTATTGATCATAATTAATGAACTATATTCATCTTCCACAAATATTCAAATCATAATAAATGAACTCTCATCATTTTCATAAATATATCAATTTATTGGGTTGCATTGGTTGTACAAATACAATGGATTGTATTTGAAACAAACTCTTTCTCTCTCTATATATATGCATATAAATTAAAATATATATATATACACATATTGGGCCGGTACTCACCATTCCCGATCCCCGTCCCATTCCTCATAAGATGTCCTCAACCCGATCCGAAAATTTCGGTTTTTGATTTTTTTACCGGTTCACAATATATGACTTCAACCATAGATGGCCAAAAATTTATTGCTATGAATGTACAAAATAATTGAGTGAACCCCATACCAAGACCTCAATGTCACATACATCAAAGTCCATATGCTACTCAATCATTGCATTATATACATACATACATACATACATACATACATACATACATACATACATACATACATACATACATACATACATGTATGTATGTATATGTAGAGGTGTAATTTAATGAGAAATTCATATATTATGATAATCATAAGAACTTTTACCTTAAAGTTTGTTTTATATGTTTATTTTTATTTTTTATCTAAGTTTAATATTTATGTCCCGTTTGATTTGAAGGAATGAAATAAATTTGAGGGGTTTGCATTACAAATCCATTTTAATCAAGTGTTTGGTTTGTTAGATTGTCCGGATTTGAAATCATAGGATTTAATTGAAATCCTTCAAACATAGGATTTTGAAATCCTTAGGGTCTGTTTGGTTTGCAGGATTGTTTTTTTTTTTTGAAGGATTTAGATTTCATTGAGGGATTTGGATTAGAATGGAATTGAAATCATTGGTGACTTTTGTTTTGTGGGATTTAGAATGAAACTGGATTTCATTACTGATAAATAATTTATAGAAAAAATTATAAATAAATACATGTGAAACAAATATTGATTAACATATATTTGTTTAATACTGTTTTTGTTTCATATGTATTTAGGTGACTGAGTGTGTTAGAGATATAAAAAAAATCCGAAACTGATTCTCATCAAACCAAAACGGTTTCGAATTATTTAGTTTACAAGTTAAACGGTTTGATTAACCAAGTAAGATGACTTTCGATTTCGCTTGTTTTTTACCATATTGGTTAACCGAATCTTTCCTGATGAATTGATTTGAGCATATATAAAATTAACATTAGGTGAAGTTATTTATTTTTAAACTAAAAGAACAAGAAATGTATATATATATATATATATATATATATATATATATATATAGAGAGAGAGAGAGAGAGAGAGAGAGAGAGAGAGAGAGATGTTCAAAGAAAAACGCTAACCTGTTTTCGTGAGACACTCGAGACAACATTTTTACACTTGAAACTTCACAACAAAATGTTGTGAAGGTAAAAAGAATGCCGAACTTTCATAGCAAAAATACCGTGAAAGTAACATTCACAGTGTTTTTGCTGTGAAATTTCAAAATGTAAAAATGTTGTCTTACGTGTCTCATGAAAACAGTTTTGTCTCACATGATTCCAAGTTTTTATATATATATATATATATATATATATATAATAGGTTCGATCCCGTGAATTACGCGGGGAAATTTAAAAAATTTAAATCATGTCAGGAACTTATCTTCAGAGTTCAGACTTCAAAGTTTGAAAAAGAAGACTTCAGACTTCTTTTTCTAAGTCTAAAAAAAAGACTTCAGAGTTCAGACTCTAGAGTTCGGGTGAGCTAAGTCTGAAAAAGCAGACTTCAGRGTTCGGGTGAGCTAACTCTTTAGAATGACTCTTCAGACTTGTACTCTTGAAATAACTCTGAAGTAAAACTTTTCAGTAAATTAAATTTAGAATAAAATGAAGTTAACTCTAGAATAAAATTGAATTTAGAAATAAAATTTAGAATAAAATGAAGTTAACTCTAGTAAATTGAATTTAAACTTAGAAGTAAACACTATTTTTTCCGAGAACCAGTTACCACACGAATTAATTAACCCAAGAATAAAATCAATTGTATCCCAAATTAGTAGGATTGATTGAATAAGATGACACATGTCAATCAAATGAGTATAATTGAACCACTAATATAAATTGTGTCCAAATACGTTTTTAGGCGGGAAAACAAGAAAACCGACTCATCAGAAGATGACACGTGTCATCAAAGTTATTTATTTATTATAAGTATAGATATATATATATGTGTGTGTGTGTAAATTAGGTATGATTTTGTATATATATATATATATATATATATATGTGTGTGTGTGTGTGTGTGTGTAAAGCATGTATAATTTTGTATATTAACAATTTTTTCTTGTATCTTTAAATAATCAACATTCTCGTCAGGGACGGACCCATAATTTTTTTAAACGGTGACACCATTTGACCATATAAAAAATAGGAATTCTTTTTCAAACGGTAACACCGTTTGACTATAAGAAACAAATATACAGATTTTTTTTTCAAACGGTGGCACCGTTTGACTAAGAAAAAATGACACTAACATGATTCGGACTTAAGTGTGAGGTGGAATAAAAGCTTTGCAAACCAACTCTACCAAATAAAACCTGTTCTTATTGTAGTTTCAAAATACATACAGTGGCACACAACAAATTAAAACGGTTGCACCGTTCACGAAACCTAAATTTTTTACCCTTCGACAGAGAAACGATATGGTGGTATGTTTTAACTAAGTCTGCCTATGATTATCGTTTAAACATGCCTCTTTATACATATTTCAACCGTTTAAAAGAAAAGGTGGTTCAAACATTTAAAAAGAGTAGTACACATTTATTGCATTAAATGCAATTTAAAGAAGTGCTTTCAATGATCGAATTCATTATAAATTAATTATTTTATTTATTAAAATAAATAAAAAAATAGTTGTATTTCTTGTTTTATTGCAAAATAAAATACCCGAGTTGTTTAAAATTCGTTTATTCTACGTACTTTACGTTTTTTCAGTATTTAACTGATTTAACTTTTAATTATTGTACTTACAGTTCTGTTATATATCGATCATAGTATTTATACCAGTCTTTGATGGTACCGTTTTGAGAAGGGACGACAATAATGGCAAGGACGGAGCAAGGGCCCCAACGACATATGAGTGATGGTAGGGGATGGGGTCCCATAATTAGCAAGTACCTTACGGGTCGTTAAAATAAAAATAAAAATAAAAATAAAAATTTAATTCAGTTATAAACTCGAGTAAGGTGCTTCCCGACCGACTCTGGTTAATCGAACCCGGAAAAATCCAAGAACACTCAAATGAGGTTGCCCGACACAAAATTAAGTCAAATCGTATCTATCGGGTTGAAATTGAGTTTGGGTTTGGGTTAGGTAATTTGAACCCAACCTAACCTGATGAATATGATGTCTTTCTATACTATAGATTTAATATGATTGTTAAGTCTTTGATTAATATATGTACATTAGACATTATATTAAAACCCGTAATTAGTTACATTTAAAATTATATTATAATTAACCATAAGAGTGATATCTGATTGGTTTGAGTTTGACTTCAAAGGTCAAAAGTATCAGGAGGTCCCAGGTTCAAATCGAAGGAGGAATAAAAATCCCCTTGTGGCCACAGAGGTTCAAATGCGATAACTCCGGGCTATCTGCAAAGCAGGTGGTTGCCTTGTGATTAATCGGCTCGCATAGCGGGTTGGATATCCAAGTTAATAAAAAAAAAATTATATTACAATTTCAACTGTAAATTTTCTTTCTTATTTGAATGAATCTTCAACTTTTTTTGAGTTTGTTAGTCTTTTTTGTATGTTCTCATTTTGATTTTACTTCGTTTAAACACAAATGTTTAGCTTGTTAGGATCTATACAGTCTTTTTTAACAACAGTAACCCATCAGACATAAGCTCCCAACAACCCATACAATTTCAGTTGGGTTGGGTTAGGTTGAGTTGAGATTTTTCAGACCATAAATATCGGGCTAGATTGTTTGAATGTCTTTAATCCAACCAACCCAACTTTGACTATTCAGGGGCTGTTTGGAATTGCTTATTTGAAACAACTTATACTTTTATACAAAAGTTTTTATCAACTTATTATAAGTTAGAATGGTTTAACTTATTCAAAAACTCCTTATTACCGGTTCGACACCGGTATAAGCTGTTTATCCAAACACTCAAAAATGCTTATTACCGGTGTCACACCGGAATAAGTCAATAAGTTTTTTTTATAACCAATCCCAAACACCCCCTCGGTCTAGTATAGTGTGAATTATTATTCATTTCAGTGATTTAAAATATAAAACAAAAATAAAATAACATAATAATTTTATCATTTTTTACATCATTTCAATTGAATTTGATTTAAAATAATCAGATACTTTAATAAATCTTGTTGATATTTAAAGTGGTCATTTTGTTAAGGTACAATGTATAAAATGGTCATTTTGGTCAATTTCCCTTCTTTTGTCTTCTTATACTTTGTGACCTTAGTGGTGGACTTGGTATGGTTGCCAAAATTTTCTATTAGATATTGTGTATTAATCAGATATAATTAATACATAAAATCTTATACTGAATACTAAGGAATTGTATTTGGTGACCAGCTTAACTGGTATAGACTTTTTATCAGTTGGTAGTGATTTTATACCAACATTACATTACATATATGAAAACTTGTCATTTTTATTCAAATTTTGAGTAACAACTTAAGTCTACAAATCATAGATGTGATGTTCAAAAGTTTTTAAACTGTAAGGAATGAAACTTGCAACCAAATGGTCTTTGGCCTAGTGGTATCATAGTTCTTGGCCTTCTAGGAGGTTAGGGGTTCAAACCTCACCATAGGTGAGGAGGGCGTGTGAGTTTATACAGACTTCCAATACTGTTGTTAGACAACCTGTCTAACCTTCGGGGGTAAAAGTTGTAAAAGACATTTTTTTTACAACAAAGTCCCAACCAGATATTTTATCACAAACGGTTAACCACAAGATATATAATGCGTAAATGTAAAGAGAGAGAGAGAGAGATACTGACGTCGTTGTTTGGTGTGGTTCACCAACTGGGCTAATCCACTTTCTCGAAGCCCTTCTCGAGACACCGATCCACTGTATGATGTTCATTGGCAGAACATAGACCTTGGTACTGAAACTTGCTTGAATATGAATAACTCCATTTGGTATTTTACGTGTACTCTTACGTGAACCAATACGTCCACACGAACCCTTTTTTCGGTTTAACTTTTGTCATATTTTATCATCTCATAAATTTGAGTCAGAGATATATGGATATATCTATTTCATGTCAAAACAGACCCCCCTTCTTATTTGTATATCGGGTCTTTAACGAGTCTGATTATCCTTGTCTCAGTTCATGTCTTGGATTGGAACAAATTACTATAATTCGCCCCCGACGACGGATTAATCGACATTTTTCACAAATTTTACGAGCATAAGCTCTTATTTATTTACCGAAGAGCATGTGTCATTTAATATTCCGTTGACAAAATAAGATCAGTCAAATTGAATCCTCAATAATTCAGTAAGGCACGCTTCGTATCATGAATGCTTTGACTTCGATAATTCTTCGAATAGTTTAATGTATGCAATTTATTCTTACAAAATAAGAATACAACTTGAGTCGGGTTTTTGTTTGTTAATCATTAAAACTGAGAATTTCACAAAGTGTACTAAAAAAATGAGGAGAGTAAACCAGGTGCCTGATTGGTTTGAACTTGGCTCTAAAGTTCAAAAGTATCAGGAGGTTACAAGTTCAAATCCAAGGAGGAATAAAAATCCCTTAGTGACCACGGAGGTTCAAATGCGGCGAGTTCGGGTTATCTGCAAAGCAGGTGGTCGTCTTGGGATTAGTCAGCTCGCATAGCGGGTTGGATATACAGGTTAATAAAAATAAAAAATAAAAATGAGGAGAGTAATTTTTGTATACTTGTACCAACTAAGTTTACATATTTGGTATGGTACTATCAGCTAATTATAATTGATACTGTTGATATATTGGTTTGGTTTGTTAGAAAATTGTCAAATATTTAAGGTAGATAAAAAAGTATTTAAATGTGCTCCAAAGTTGAATAAATTTAGAGTAATATTTTATTTTAAAAAGAATAAATAATCTTTTTATAATCAAATAAATAGATATAATTCTTTGGTTGTATTAACTCAGTGCATGTATATAGCTGTTTGTGTAGATTAATCAGTATAGATGTTAGGGTGGGCAGACATTAAGATAGAATAGGCATGCTAATATGCCCAAAGTCGACGCTACAATATGATGAGAGATTATTCCTCCCGAAGTTGTACGCCTGATTCGCCAGGTTCTATCACTGCAGGGCCAGATGTATAGATTGAGAAGATTTTTGTTTGAGAGTTTTTTTTATAGATGAAAATAGTTTGTTTTTTAATTGGGAGGAGACAAGTTTGGAAAAAACTTGACTTTTTGTATAAAGTTCTCCCCAGAAATTTACTAAATAAACTACTTTATATACCGTTAAGCCACTTCAAAACAATCATGTATAGCTGACTGAATAAATTATAAGTTCTATTAAACTCATTAAGCTACTAACAAAAATAGACCTTTATTAAGGGATGTTTGGTTGGTTTTCCATTAATTTTTCTATGAATAAAGTTGTCTATGTGTATTAATCTGTCTATATTTATTGGGAATTTTTTTTTTAATAGACTTTTTTTTCATAGATAAAAGGAGGGTGTTTTTAGGTTGGAAGGGACATATTTGGAAAAAAAAAACCTGGTTTTCTGCATAAAGTTCTTCTTCTAAAAACTTACCGAGTAAGTCATTTTCTATATCATTAAGCCATTACCCTAATAAACCGTTAACAATCATGGTCTGAATTATATAATTATTTATTTATTTTAAAATAAGTTAATAATTATTTAATTATTTTAAAATAACTTTTTCCCTCTAACAAAGAAAAATTTGGGTCCAAACCGGGAAAGTCAGAAGACTTGTGCGACCGTCTTCCTCCTCCCCTTGCCACTGTTAAAAAGCCAGCTAAGAACACCATCGTCATCACTCTGCAAGTTTTCTTTGCCCCCACATCACCCCAATTCAAATTCCTTCCTCTATCATCTATAACATCGATCAATGGAAACAATTATGTGATTTCCCTTTGCTTAATTACTCAAACTCCTCCTAGAATCTCTCGTTTCCACGTTAAATCGATTCGCCATTAGTAACCAGAAGAAGGTTTTGGTTTACACACTTCATTTCTTTGTCGATATCTTCACAAAACCCCAGTAAGTTCATGGGTTTTCAATTTCATCATCTGTTTATGCAAATTCTGATTTTGGGTTTATAGCGAGTGTACGCAATTTTTTTTGGATCTCGAATTGGGGTTTTTTGTAGTTTTGTTTATGGCATGTGATTCGTGTAATATGGTTTCTGCTACAGTTTGGCTTGTGCTGCAATTTTTGAACCTTGATAAACCCCAACTATGGCGGACTTGAATCATGCTTCTTCTGGTTATATCACCATTATTAATCATGCAAGTTCAAGCGACCCTATCCTGTGGTTGTTTTCAGTTTTTGGGGGGATTATCATGTGCAAAACTGTAAGTACTGATTCCTAATTCTGTCTAATCGACTTCCAATTAGATTCATAAATTCCAATTTGGTAGTGATGATATGCTTTTTATAACAAAATCTAATTCCCAATTAAATTCATTATGTATATTGTTCTTGAATATTAAATTCATTATGTATATTGTTCTTGAATTCTAAGTTCAGTTATATATACGGTTGCACATAAACATACGATTACATTTGGATTTGTTGTATATGAAGGCAATGATAGTATCATAACCAGATGAAGTAATATTTAGGGTTTAGGGTAAATTTTGGTATCTTCCAAGGTTTTGGGAATTTCAATTTGGAAGTAGTCATTTACAAGGAACTGGGATGCATTTATCTTTTCTGGGATGCAAATATTACAGGCATTGAACTGGTCTGTGTCTCTTTTTTCTTTTCTTTTTTGATATACATAATATTTATATAGAGTAAATGAACTCACAAACCGTCTTATCTTTGGTGAGATTTGAACCCTTGACCTTCTGGAAGGCTGGTAACCCGGATATCGCTAGGCCAAAGGTCCTTTGGTAGTAAACTGGTCTTTGTTGATCTAGTTGGAAAACATTTTTTTTATTAACCTGGATATCCAACCCGCTATGCAAGCCGACTAATCCCAGGACGACCACCTACTTTGCAAATAGTCCGGAGTCACCGCATTTGAACCTCCGTGGCCACAAAGGGGATTTTTATTTCTCATTGGATTTGAACCTGGGACCTCCTGGTACTTTTGACATTTGGAGCCAAGCTCAAACCAATCAGGCACCACCCTTGTGCTTAAAAATTTGGACCATTTCTCGATTTGTGCGTGTCATTCTTGCGCAGGGGCCATGCTAATCTTCTCTGTATCGTTCCAATTTTATCAGATGTCCCCGAAGGGACGTTGGAAAACATTTCTTTTGATCTTAATTGTAAGCTCCTTTTGTTGTTCCTATTGTGTGTACTAGGGAATAATTGAATAAACCGTAGCACTTCATGTGAGAACATATATGCTTATTCGATCGCGTGTCCTATTTATTTAGGCTATGTTTGGGAAAGTAGCTGAAAAGCTAGTTGTTGGCTTAAAACTTAAAAGGTAGTTGTTAGCTTAAAAGCTAGCTGTTAGCTTAAAAGCTAGCCATGTTTAATAAACTAGCTGAAAAGCAAGTTGTTGGCTGAAAAACTTGTTGTTGGCTGATAAGCTGGATGACAATGAAAAATGACCTAAAAGAACATTTTGAAATATAAATTGGAAAAATATAAGGTTGGGGAAAAATGGAAAAAACCCATGGAGCTTACTGAAACGCTACTTGAAGTATCTTTTCAAAAAGCTAGCTTATGGTTGCCAAACATGGCCTGAATGTTTAGAGAAGTGAAGCTATGATCAATAAAATGAAGAACAAGAAGGAAACAATATGATTGAATATAACCTTAACGGTTTGGCTAGTTTGGAATCAAAGTTCATTACTTGATCTAATACCATCGTGATGCGTTTTTTCCGCTTGAATTCTAAGAGAGTTACGTTTTTGTTTTGAAGGCTTATGAATTGATGGGTGTATTCAGTCCGTTGATCTTCGAAGGTTTTATCAAACTTGAAGATGCGAAGAAACTTGAATGGAAAAACAGGTTATATTTCTATACCTTGATGATTATGTCTTTCTTTTAGCTTTTTGGTCCCTATATAGCTTATTTTAATTCATACAGACAGCTTAATCCATACATGGCTTAATGGAAAAACAACCAAACAATCCCTTATGTCGTTTCAGAGTCCCAATCATTTGCAAACTTCTTAATTTATACAAACCAAAAATATTTATGGAAAATGATGAGGGTTCATTTATAGTGATTGGTGTAATTATGGAAGATGATCAGAGTTACTTCATTATGATCAACGCTTTAGATTAGGAAACAATCGAAATATTTATTCAACCAGATATTCATCAACCAAGATGGACGGTTGAGATTGGTTTGCATTGTTCATATGAATTAGGAGGTTTGCAAATGATTGAGAGTATTGTTTCATTGGCTAACTTGGTATTAACTTGCATTTCCAGGGGCTTCTCGACCTTCCATGCAATCTTTGCAGCCGTTGGCTCTTTATACTTTTTGCTCGTTTCAGATCTTTTCGATGAACGTGGCCAAAAAGAGTCGATCATTAACCGAACATCTCCATCATCCGACATTATACTTGGGGTATGTCTTCTTTATATTGTGCTCAAATAGGTAATACTAAAGTCGTGCTCGTTTGGGCCTTTTAACGTCATCATTTTGTGGGTTTGTAACAGGTTAGAAGTTAGAACAAGTTAGGGCAAACTTAATTCCTATTTAGTGTACCGAGTAATTTTTTTTCTCAGTCAATTTAATGAAGTTCCAAAATTTTCTATTGAATGTCACAAAGTACCAAATTTTCCTATTTTTGTACCCATTTTGACCAGTAACATGTTGTTTTTGTAACATTTGATGACGTGGATATCAAGTTTATCGTCGACTTCGGTGTAACCCTTTCGTAAATGTGTATCCACGTCATCAAATGCTACAAGATCAACTCGTTTCCAGTCAAAATGGGTACAAAATAAGAAAGTTCAAAACTCTGTTACATCGATTAAGAAACCGAAATTATTCGTTACACTAAATAAGAACTATGGCCACTTGCATTTTGATGCGGTTTTTCCCTTTTACTTAATGGTTGGTTTAATTATGTTTGCACTTGGAAGCATTACAAGATTCAATATTTTATTGCGAAAACAACCACTTTACTCTTTTGGTTAGATGTATGTCTGCATACATCCACGACCCCACCTCCAAATGGGATATTATGGGCCCGTTTTGCTTTTGGTTTTGGATTAGATGAGTTCCCACGACATATCAAACGTTTTCATTATCTGGGGTCATATTTTTATGGTTTGAGAAGATAAAGATATGATTTTGAGTCATGATCCTGCATAATAAAGAACGAAAAATGGAGAGAAATCGTGTATGCTTAAAGACGTGTCTGTTCTTGTATCGCTGCAGATTTCAATTGGTTACTTCTTGTCGGATTTGGCGATGATTATTTGGACTTATCCAACTTTGGGAGGTCTCGAATACGTAAGTAATGCCATCTTTATGTTGCGTTTAATCAATTAATATACAAAATATATCCCATCGTGCTTGGTACAATTAGAGGCTTGACTTATTTAAGCTTGTTGAGTTGTCGAGCTTGAGCCACACTAAGCCCAAGCTTAGCTCAGATGGTCAAATGTGGGGAGGGGGGTCGGGTCCGGCTCGTTGTATGCTTGGACTAGAGGTAATCATTTGCGGGCTTTGGCCGAACATCTGTTGGATCTAACCTTTTTTTTTTGTCTAATGGGCCTAATATAGAAAACTCAAGCCAATTTTTGCTGGCTTGATAATCTGGTCTTACCCACCCAATAAACACAAGGTCGGTCTTGCCCTCAGGCTAACGAGCCTAAAAGGTCTTTTATGTTTAAAAAAACATAACTCATATCAAGTCATTCAAAACACTCTATTTTATTTCTCAACGTAAGGAAAAAAGATAGTTTCACAAATTTTATGAGACATATTGGAAGTCGGCTCGTGTCGAGGTGATCACACGTCCAATTGAGCTATCTCGGTTATGCTTCATAAGGTAGCCTTTGGTATGTAGACAGGACAAGAGGGTAGGACAGGACTGGACTGAACTAGTGTATGTCTGGTGTTTGGTACGACTAGGATTGGACGGGAAAGAACTAGACAAGTTATCCCCAAAAAGTTATTTGATGATATTAAAGTTATAATTAACAGAAACAAAGAAATTATTAAAGAATTTAATTTATAATTTTTTTATACAATTTTCATATAAATGAATACATACATATATAATGGTTCCAAATTTAAAAGAAAATTTTGATATAATGGTAGCAGTGGAGGTGGTTTTGGTTTTGGTTTTGGTGGTGGTGGTGGCCGACGGTAGTAGTGGCGATACGCGGTGGTGGTTATGGATGTAGAAACAGTGGTAGTTGGCGAACGACAGTTGTTATAGAGGACGTGAAGATGATGGATTGTGGTGGTGATTGACAACGGTGGAGGAGGTAGTTGTGGTTGATGTAGTGAAGATAGTGGTGGCGGTGGTTATGGTGGAGGTGAGATGACAATGGACGGTGGTGGTCGATGGTCGTGGAGAAGGTTGTTGCAGTAGAGGAGTTGGAGGTGGCCAATGGTGGTAGTGGTGGTGGCAATGGATGATGGTGGTCGGTGGCCGATGGTGGGTGATGGCGGCGGTTGAAACTAGCAGTAATGACCATTAAAACAAATATCATATTAAGGTTATATATCAAACTAGGGTAGATTAGTAATATTTTAGTTTTTGTCACATTCTTGTCCCATCTTGTTCCACCTATTTTGGTGGAACAAAAAAAAGCCTCTTTTGTCCCATGCCGTTCCACCTTGTCCCAGTTCTTGTCTCTGTCCCATGTCAAGCCAAACGTGGGACAGTGAGTTCTTGTTCTGTCCCATGTTGCGTCAAACATGGGACAGTGAGTTTTGTCCCGTCCTATGTACCAAACGCAACTTAAAAGAACGAAGGAAACAAAGGAGATAAACGAAGTTTGAATCAAAGCATTCTTCCCATTTTTTTAAGTTTCTCGTTGATCTGGATCTCGCCTTTGCAGGTATTGCATCATGGACTCTCTATGCTCGCTATCGGTCAATCCGTTCTAAGCGGTCAAGCTCAGTTTTACATCTTTATGGTTCTTTTCACGGAGATCACGACACCCTTCGTGAACCTAAGATGGTATTCGTTTCTACAAAAAGACAATTCACAACTTCATTTCTTCACATTCAATGTCCAAAAACCGATCATTAGATATGTGTATATACAGGTATCTGGATGTCGCCGGGAAGAAGAACTCCACACTTTATTTATCGAATGGCGTTGCAATGGTCGTAGGGTGGTTGGTAACGTCTACAGTACCCTTTATATAAATCTCGTTAGAGTTGATTCACGTAAATACAAACATATTATCAGTCATTTGCCCATTCAATTATCGAGCATGCTAGAATGCTTGTGTAGATCACATCGGCAATTTATACTCCTTTCGTCTCTAAATAAATGTCCACAAATGAAAAAGGTCCGCAATTTTAAAAAATGCGTAATTATTACACGTTTAGAGTAAATTACAATTTTCGTCCCTGTGGTTTGTTAATAATATCCATTTCCGTGTGGTTTAGAAATTATGCTTTTAGTCCTATGGTTTGCAATTTATTGGTCTTTTCGTCCTTGGACTAAATTCTTACCCTGAAGTACAAGGGAGCAAAACAGAAAAAGATGGTAAACCACAAGGACTGAAATAACAATAAATTGTAAATCATAAGGACGAAAATAGAATGAATTACAAACCATAGGGATGAAAACCACAATTTTTCAACCATAGGGATGAAAATTGCAATTTTTAACAAACCACGAGGACTTAAAACATAATTTACTTAACTTAAATTTTTATTAACTAAATGACAATTTTACCCATAATTTCTAAATTTTTGTATCTTATAATTAAGGATAGAATTAGAAATTAAGTATTTACTTTTAAAAGTGGAAATTTATTTTCGAACAAACTAAAATAGAAACATGGACACTTATTTTGGGACAGGCAGAGTAATACGATTGTTTTTTACGAATAAACCATTTGATTATCGTTGGTGTGGATTCGGTCTTTTGGCTCGTCTTAACAGGTCGCAAGGGTCGTGTTGTTTGTATTCTTTTTCTACCACTTGTTTATGCATTTTGATCAGGTAAATTGATCGAACAATCGTTGATTTGGAATTCGAAACAACCTCGGTGCACCACACCGGGGTCGGCCACCACAGCCTCTGACCACCCCTTTTTCGTGTGTCGGTTTCAGGTGAAGCAAATGTACCCGACGGGATTTTACAGCATGCTAACGATCCCGCCCGCGTTGGCGATGATGAATTTGTTTTGGTTTTGGAAGATCGCCAAAGGATTGATTAAAACTCTCACCAAGTTAAGAAGAGGGCATGCTCATAGTAGTTGATTGCTTCTTTTTTTCTTGAGCAAAAATGCCAAGAAAACATGTGAATTTAACAAAAAAAATGAGCAATTTGAAACATAAGAACTAAAAAGTTCGAGTTATAATCAGACGTAAAAATTCTCAGTTGTTCTAAGGAGACTCGAACAGGTAATTTATGGAGAACAATTATCCAGAACAGGTAAACAGATGATTTTTCTGTCTGTTAGTTTTAGGGTTTCATAGATCAGTTGAGGTGCAGAAAAATGCAAATACGAGAATTTAAGTAATATATCCTCTTGCACAATTAATTTCTAGCTTACCCAATTTCATCCATTACTCGTCACATCAGCATAATAATCGCTTAATGCTTCAACCGGTTACTCGAGTACTTAAATATTTAAAATTTTACATTTTAGGTATTAAAATAGAAGTTTTGAACTACGTCATTCAAAATAGGAATCAAATTAAAGTAGATTACTTTTTTAATGTAATTTTTTCTATATTTTACAAATAAACATATAGAATAAGCGTGACATGTATTCTTCCCACTTTGTGCAAAGTTGACATCAAAATTGTGGGTTGTTGCGTCTTTTGACTAATTATTAATTCATAAATTTGGAATATTGTGCACAAAAATATGTTTTATGCCAAATAATTTAAAAAATATGTTAATTTTCATATTCTAAATTGTCTCTCATGTTTAACTCATTTAGGGGCCGTTTATCAAACGCTTATTCGGGTAAGTGAACATCAAGTCATTTTACCTTACTAGATGAATATAGTAAGGATCAATAATCTTACCTGGTAAGAACGAAACAAGAACCAAGAGTCTTACCCGGTATGTGAAGGCGACGACGCTTATCACGGTAAGCGCTTACCGGGTAAAATGTTGCATACGCTACCACTTTGGTGGACTAAAATCTTATCCGGTAAGTAAATGATAGTGTTAAATTTACCGGTAAGCGTTTACCGGATAGGTGTTTGGTAAACAACCCCTTAGTAAAGGAGCAGGGGCGGACCTACTTATAGAGTAGGAGGTGCACAAGCTCCCACTCGATTGTCCCATCGTAATGGAAATCTTTTAGAGGGTTGATGAAATGTTTTTTGGTTTTTCATTTATTTAACGTTTTTCATAAATCTCTTTTTAGAGTCGGGTTCATAAGAGAATAATAATCAAATAAAAGAATAAAGAAAACGGTTGAATCACATATGATTTTACACTAAAATCATGTGTAAAATTAAATGTGATTCAGTTGAGGTTACAGTTGACAATTAGGGAAAAATCATGTGATTTGGTCGTTTTCCTATTCTTTTATTTAGTTATTGTTCTTGTTTAAACATCCTTAGTGTTTTATCCACAACTTTTTGTTATCCTTGATTTATCTTTTATCCATTAAATTTTGTTATATCATCAGAGACTTTTTATGTTGATGCGTTCGTTGTTGATAATAATGTGATAATACTGTGATAATGATCTAATTTTGTCGTGATAATAATTTGATAAATT